CATTGGGGTTAACGCAGAGTAGGGATGAGAAGAGGAGCCTGCCTTGGAGACCCTTACACACTGGGACAGCAGCTTCTGTAGCACGCTAGCAGAAGCACCTCTCTAGGAGATGAGAAATTTGCCCAAAGTGACACAGCAGGCAAGTGGCAGAGCCTCCACCTAGACGCCTGCACTGTAGCTGCCTGCTAGTCAAGCAAGGGTTTAGTAGCAGGCATACAGTAAGACAGCAAACCTAAGGGTCTCTGGTGAATGGGAAGGTCTGTCCTATGAGAGCAAGCCTAGAGTCCTTCTGAATTCCCTGCTGCCCCTTGGGTTGAAGCACTGTCCCTCTGTGGGGTCACCATCCTCGCTGGAGATCGCCTGCCTCCTGAGGAGTGTAGAGCTCCTGTGCAGAGCACTAGGCCATGTGCTGTGGCTGCTCTGTCCAGTGCACACTAGGAATCAGTGTCCCTCACCCTGCAGAGTTCCTGTCCCCAGGCCCGTCTCTTCCTCACTCAGGCAGCTTCTCCCTTGTGGCAAAGTCACCAGGGACCCCAGCCTCCTAGAGCTCAGAGGTTGACAGTAACTCAGAACACCCATAACATAGTCTAACACCATAGAGCAGCTGGCTTCTAAGTGTCAGAGCAAGCATCCCCTGGGCTGGGAAGCCAGCCAGATGAGCGAGGCTGGTCAGCAGAAAGCATGGTACCAGCAGCCACCTGACTGACCTGGAACAAACCAGTGTGCAAAAGCCTGTTCCACCAGGTTAAGCAGATTGATTTTGCTTTGAGATTTCAGATCTTGGTGTCAGTGTGTGTTGTTTTCTGAGGGAGATCACTTAGTGGGCCCTGGCTGCCAGAGAAGCAGCACTTAACCAAGTTAGTTGCTTTGCAGTTTTTATTTGGCCCCTCTGTCTTTTGGGAGGAATGTTCTCCCCTGTGTAGGATAATTCTAAATAAACTTTTATATGGCTGGGCAGTGGTGCCTCAAGCCTTTAATCCCAGCACTAGGAAGGCAAAGGCATGCAGATCTCTGAGTTCAAGGCCATCCTGGTCTACAGAGTGAGTTCCACAAGAGCCAGGGCTACACAGAGAAACCCTGTATCGAAAAAATAACAACAAAAGGGACTGGAGAGATGGCTCAATGGTTAAGAGCTGCTCTTCCAGTGGTCCTGAGTTGAATTCCCAGCAGCCACATGGTGGCATACAGCCTTCTATACTGGGATCTGATTGATTCCCTCTTTTCTCATGCAGACACACATGCAAATAGAGCACTCATATCAATAAATCTTTAAAAAAAATTCTTTTTCTTTCCACGTATGCACCTAAGACTGTGCATACAGTAACCAGAAACCCTTCAGGAAGCATGCCATTGTCTTTAAATATCTTTTGTCTCATTGGCTCCTAGCTGGCACAGCCTGGACAGTTTATACCTGGTGACATTTAAGGAGCAATTTTGGGGAAGGCTGGAGGAAGGAAATATTTGGTGTGACTTGACATTAAGTCCTCTGGCTGGTGGTTATCCTTTGCCAATATATCGCTTGTCTGTAAAGCGTGTAGGCCTAAAAATAGCTGCTAGGACTTTGTGTCATCCTGGATGAAGGGCATCTGCCCCATTTCATTGGCTTTTGGATACCCTCATAATGTCACAATGAAATGGCATCCCAGTAGAATTAGCACAGATCATTAAATCCGGCTCCTTGGCCAGGGTAGTGCCAGATGGAACTTTAGGGCAGGTGGGACCTCAAAAGTGACCACCCAATTGCTTGCTGCCATGTCATCTGCCCAGGGGTTCACAGCAAAGCCGGCCACTCCTTAAAATGGTCCATCAGGACCAGCAAACCCAGCCTGCAGCTAAATCCCTCTGCTCCGTTGGTCCTGCCCACTGACGCTGTGGCCCCAGCTGCTTAAGTTGCTCATCCCATGCTGCTGCTGAGGGTCTCCCAGCCCAGGGCAAGGTGGTAGGGTCCCTCCACAGTGAGTGGTGCTGTTGCTCCTAATGTAAGGCCTCAGAGGCCTTTCTCAAGGCGGCAGTCCATGTAGCGTCCCTGCCTTCCCTTTGGACAGTTGTTCCCTGGAGCAGGGCAATCCTTCTTTTCCTTCATGACGATTGGCCCCACACACAGACTTTCTAACCCCACAGTCCATCACCAGAGTGAGTCTGGGCTTGGGACTCCACATGCTGTGGAAGATGTGGTAAGAGACCAGTGTCTGGCTCCTTGCGCCCCTTGGCAGAGACCCTTAGCTCCCTCCAGGGACCCCCGTGAGCTCTCCAGTGCCTCTAATGTGTCCTCTTTTGTGTGCCACAGCCCGAGACGGAGGATGAAAAGAAGCGCTTTGAAGAAGGCAAAGGCCGCTATCTGCAGATGAAGGCCAAGCGACAGGGCCACGCAGAGCCTCAGCCCTAGGTGTCTTCCTCCTGTCCCTGTCAGCACAGTTGTGGCAATAGCCCCGTGTGCAGTCACTTAGAAGTTACCCCCTTGGCTAAAACCCCAATTTCCACTGAGAGCTGGTGTTATGTGAAGTGTTGTGTGGCAGTGTTACCTAGGCCCCGTTCCTGACTGTGCACCAAAGCTTTATTTATATCCCTCCAGTAACTGCTCCCCAGTGTTGTCCCAAAGGCCACCAAGGACACCAGAGCACACTGAATGATCTGTGAAGAAGCCAGCACCACTAATAAAGCTGCTGTCTGGCTGGACCCTTGAAGCCTGGGTGATCGTTTGTCTGTGGTGGGGGGGGAGGTCTGTTTTCTCGCTGGGCGTCACCTCAGCCCTCCATTCCTCTGAACTCACTGCCTTCTCCCAGGCCCCAGCACTCCCAGCACCAGCTCTGGAAAGTGAGAGGTGTGCTTGGGACCTTGCACCCTCGTGAGTCCTGGGACTCACTGCCCCTGTGGCTTTCATGGAATGCTGCCTCTGAGCCTTGCGTGCCCTTCCCTCACAAGGCTCCCTGTCCCTCTCCATGACTGAGCTCTAAGCAGGCCATGTGTGGAGAGAGTCTCCACTGTCTGCTCTGAGCTCCCAGAGGTCCAGATGCCACGCTAGCTGGGAGGGGGCCTGCCGGAAGATGCCTCGCTGTTCAGGCAGGGGCTCTGGGGAGGCCGTGTTTTGATGGGCCGGGGTGTAGCTGTGTACCTGCAGGTAGGGGCGTAGAGTGGAGTGTGTCCTTTACTGTTTGTGTGGGCTAAGTGCGCGAGCATCCAGTGCTGTGTGTCCGGGTGTGGAGCGGAGTGTCCTTTACTGTATGGGTGTGCTAAGTGCACGAGCATCCAGTGCTGTGTGTATCCGGGTGTGGAGCGGAGTGTCCTTTACTGTGTGGGTGTGCTAAGTGCGCATGCACCCATGCTGTGTTTGCGGCAGGGTGTGGGGGTTGCAGACATTGGGATGTACTTTTGCGTGTCCTTGGCCCAGCTGCCTTGGGTAGGAGGGTGGAGCACGAAAAAGCCATCAAGGCCTCTCCAGGGCCAGGACTCCACCCCCTGCCCACCAGCCAGAGGTGGCGCCCAGTTTGTCCCTAAAGCTCAAGCATCTGTCCCACTGAATAGAGAAGGCAAACTCTCCTGCCAACAGCTGCAGCTGATCACACAGTTCCCTGAGGCCCCAGGAGGAAGAACCCAGCTCCAGATGTGCGGAAACACCCGCCAAGAGCCTCGGCTTTGGAATCTGTCTCGGCCTGGGTCCCAGAAGACGGGATCACTTCCTGCCTGGAAGTAGGAGAGGGACCAGCTCTCCCACATGCAACCCCATCAACTCTCCCTGTGCCCCAGGCCCCTTAACAACCTAGAGGTCCACAAGGCACCCTTGATGCAGTGACGAGGCCAGCAGAAAGACAAACTGCCAAGACTTGTGCACCCAGACCCAGCCATTGCCTCCTAAGCAGGATCTGGGCCCGGGCTCCCCGAGGCACACGTGATTACAACTGCCCTCTGCTGGCAATCTGTAACCAGGGCTGCCTGGATGGGCACTGGCCTGTCCACAAGGGGCTCTCTTGAGATCCCTGACCACCCCAGAAACCCTGGGAAGTGTGGGAAGGCACACACTGTATCCAGGGCCTGCCATCTTGGTGTGGAGAACCCTTTATTAAGAAGTCTGGCCCGTGGAGTACATACAGAAGGCGAGCTACAAAGTGAGGGGAGCCTGAAGAAGACCAGGCAGCTCTTGGTTTGCAAGGAAGAGTTCGCTTCTAGGTGCCACACAACCCTCAGTGGCCTAGAAGACTGCCACTGTGTCTGCTGGGTGGGGTCTAGGATGTCCCCTCCACTCTTTCTGACCAGGGAGGTCTGAAGGGCTTCTCTCTGCTCCGCGTAGGCGCAGGGAGGGGGGTAGTGGTGCCAAACCTGTGCCCAGTAGAAATGTTAGCAGAAGGTGGCCTCCCGGAGGCGAGGAGAGCCAGGATCTGGGTTTCTATCAGTTCCCTTGGTTGATCAGAGCCTCAGAGGGTACACGGCTGGTTCTCTCCACGGGGAGAACCAGTCACCCTGCAGCCCCGAGGTGCACACACTTCCCCCGAAGCGCAAGGCGCTGGGAGAGGAAATCGGAACCTTTGGACGGCCCAACCCTGCCTCCTGCTACTCTGATTCCTGACCCAGCAACTATTTGATTCCTAGAAGCCGCTAAGACCTCCGGCGCGAGCTTCCTATCTATCCCACGTCCTCAAGGGTGCTAACCTCTGACGTGGCTTCCTTCCCTGACTCCCCATATCCCCTGTCCTGTCCTCTCCCCACACGTTAAGCTCCTTTTTCTCTGGCTTGCGAGCCCCGCCCCCAACTCCAAGCAGGTTAGAGGCGGAGGCCCGAGTGACCCAGACCCGAAGGGCCCGGCGTGGGCGGGTCCCGTCGCTTGCTCCAAGGGGCTTCACTGCGGCTGCTGGGGCTACGTGGCTGCGGTGAGTGGGGGGCCAGTAGGACGCGGCCGGGAAGGCGGGGCACGGCCAGGGGGCGGCGCGGAGGCCCCGGCAGAGGCATGCGCCCTGGGCCGCCCCCCGCCCCCGGCCGCCCGAGCGCAGCCAGCCAAGCGGCGGGAGCCGAGCGCGGCCGCAGCGGAGGCGGCGCCCAGGGAGGGAGGGCGGCAGGGCGGCAGGGCCGAGCGCAGCACAGCGCTCTGGCCATCGCAGCCTCCACAGCCAGGATGCCCGGGTCCGCGGGCCGCTCCGCCGCCAGCCAGCCCCGCGGCCCCTGGCAGCGGGCGCTCAGTGCCGGGGCGCGGGAATCGCAGCCGGAGCCGGAGGCGGGAGCAGCGAGCCGGAGCCTCTGGCGCCCAAATGCCGGGTGAGCGCCACCGCCCCGGCCCAGGGTACCGAAGGGAAAATCCGGGTGGGAGGACTAGGAGGTGCTACGAGCACCTGGTGGGATGCGGGGTCCGTCGGAGTGGCCGTGGGCAGCCTTTAGGGCCGGAACGCCCCTTCATCACCAACTTGGGGACCTTCAGGGTAACTTCTCCGAGCCGCCTCTCCCTCGGCTCTCTGCTCCTAGGCCTGGCAGCGCAGTCCTGGGTGGCTCGCAGGGGCACGAGTGGCTACTTTGTGGGTCTCAGGGCCCCATGCCCAGCGCAAACTGAGGGTATGGGTTGAGGCACAGTCCCACCCTTAAGCTGGCTCCCCAGGCCGTTCTTTGGACGCACCCTTGGGGCTGGGAACTGGAAGACCCACAAGGGCCAGGCCGGCAGGGGTGTGCCTTTTAGGTGCGGGTAAAGGAACGAACCGAGCCCCGGGAGATCGAGACCTATAAATGGGGTGTCAAGGGTTGTGCCCTGGGCCGCCGTCCAACAGGCCTTTGGAGACCTTTTCGCACACCAGAGGCCAGCCTGTAGGCGAAATCACGCAGCGTAGGCTCCTCGGAGACTGGTGGGCGCAGCCGGAGCCCGGGGAATCCTTTCAAGTTCTGGGTTCTCTTTGTTGCGCAATACAGCCCTGGGGCTGTGCAACCTCATTGGCCCAGGGTCGTGACGTCACGACCCGGCCCTGCCCGTAGACCCTGGGGAGGGGGGAGGCTTCAAGGCCTGGGTGGGTCTTTAGATTGCCCTACCTGTCTTGTGCCCTGCCTTGGGGAGGGCGAGTTGTGGGATTCCTAATATGGAGGTGGGAAGCATCCTCCTGGAAATGTTGAGGTGCTTGGAATCCCATACTGGAGCTTGCTGGCTAGAGCAGCCAAATCCCGGTGGAACCCAATGGGGTCCGGCCCCAGTGACTGCTGCTCCAGATCTGTGGGTATCAGCAGATCTGATATCCACACCCCACCCCACCCCCGCCAACACTGCAGAACATTCTTCCCTTCCCAGAATACAGCCTCCAGGATTGCTGGGCCCCAGCATGGCCTGCCCTGGTACTTTCTTCTTAGCCGCCCTCAGCTTGGAGGCCACCTTGTTGCCAAAGTTAGGCTCTATCCTGCAGGGATGGACAGCTCAGACAGACCTTGTTTGGAATACTTTAGAAGGGTTTGAGAGACCAAGACTTTGGTGTTTGATGAGTGAAGTTTGAATTTTGGCTTGGGTACATAAAGATGTTGGCAGGAGATTTAATCTTTCTGCCTCCACCGAAATGCCTCTCTCTAATGGAGATGGCAGCAGTACTTCCCATTACAACACACCGGGAGACGTGTGCCTCCCTCCCTTACCCACTGGCACCCCACCCAACTGAAACCTGGGTAAGGATCCCAGGCTTGGCTCTATTCCATGCAAACCCTTTAACCTAGGAAGTGCTGTCCGCCGAGTGTGGATCTGGCTCCGCTCCGAGCACCTTGCCTGGCAGAGCACACCAACTCTTGTCAAGAAAGGCACTTCGTGTCTGATCTTAGAATTAGAAAACGAGGTGCGGGGTGTCAGGAAAGGCGCAGGCGGCTGGGGCTGGACTCCAGCTTCCTGAGTCAAGTCCATAGCATTCTTTCTTCTTCACCTTGTGACCTCCAGTCTGCAGCCGAGAAGGCTGGCCAGACCCAGAAGGTGTGGTGACGGGTGTACCCGGACAGGCTCCCACTGTTTTCCTCAAGCAGTGACCTAATAGATATTTGGGCAGAAATTGCTCTGCCTGCAGCAGACTTCCGCCCAAGAGGGTATTAAAGGACACTGTGTCCACAGCAGAGCCCTCTTCGGGGTTAGGGTCTGAGCAGGCCTGGGGCAGGCACACCAAAGTGAACCAGAGGAATCCACAGGATACTGAAGAACCGTATAGACAAGGGCTGGGCGTAGTGGCGCATACCTTTAATCCCAGCCCTGGGGAGACAGAGGCAGGCAGGCTACGTAGTGAGCTCCAGTACAGCCAAGGGTACACAGAGTAACCTTGTCTCAGAACAATTTTTAATTTTTAAAGAGGAGGACTGATAGACAGGGCCAGAAGCGAGGCTCCGTTTTCCTGCCAGAGAGCTGGGAGGCTTGGCTGGGGCTGCTGCAGCTCCCCATCTGCCCCAGCTGGAGGCACCGGGGAGGGGCAGGGGCTGGGTGTGTGCTGGGCTCTGGGTGGCGCAGCTAAGAGGGTTGCAGGTAGTCTTCTCTCAGCAAGGGGCCCCTCCCATGCTGCCTGCTCCAGGTGGGGAGCCTGGGAGACCTGACAGACCGGAAGAGGGAGGGGCGGGAGGAATGGCCACTCAGCCTGCTAGCAGGGCAGGCGCCTCCCCTAGTGTCCAACCCCCTGCCCAGGACCCTGTGAGCTCACTCCCATCTGAAGGGGACTGGCCGTTCCTCTGCAGTCAGGGTCTCGGGTATCTCCAGGCTGACACTAGTCCATAGCATCCTGTGGGGGAGAGCCAGGCCCAGAACGGGGTGCTCACTGCTGCCTCCTGGCGCCCAGCGTGCACTGCCTGGGCCCTGGGCTTTAGAAATGGCCGTCCACTCAGCTTCCCACAGAAGCAGCATAACTTCCCCGCACGAGCGCCTTGCCACTGCCCTACAGCCAGGGGGCAGCAGCTCTGGTCACTGTCCCTGGCTGTGCCAGGCCCTTCCAAGAGGCCCACTGTGAGAGCCTGTGTACCTACTCCTGGGGAGGGGTGTGAGAGTGGTGGCCAGTTCATTTCTGTGTCGCAGGTCACTTGGGGGACCAGAGAAGGCAAAGGGAGGTATGGAGCGGGGGCTGGGATAGATGAAGGTCAAAGTGGCTGGCCTGTCAGTGTGGGGATTTTGGAACACATGATGGTGAGAAGGCTGGCTAGGCGACCAGGACATGCATGGCGAGGGTCCACCTGAGTCACCTGAATTCCCAGCACTCCAGAGGCTACGGAGGATCAGGGGTTCAAGACCAGCCTTGGGCTGTCTCGAGTGAGCAAGGCACACATGGTGGCACATGCTTGTAAACCTGACACTCAGGATTCAGACTCAGGAGGATCCCTGCAAGTTCAGATTTGTCCTGGTTTACATACAAGTTCCAGGCTAGCCAGGGTTGCATAGTGAGACCCCGTCCCTTAAAAACTCAGACTGCGGATGGAGGGATGGCTAGTGGTTAAAAGCACTTTTCTGTTCTTGCAAAGGACCCAGGTTCAGTTCCCAGCATCCACAGGCTGGCTCACAGCCATCTGTAACTCCAGTTCCAGGGGACCGAACACCCTCTCCTGTCCTGGAACACATGTGGTATACAAGCAAGACACTCATAAATATGATATAAAATAAATAAATCCAAAGAGCGTCCATTTGGGCCCAGCCTGGCCCAAGACTATAAGTGAACAGGTGGCTTGGAAGAAAGCTCAGATTCTAGGCTGGAGAGATGCTCAGCACTTAAGAACACCTGCTGCTCTTCCAGAGGACCTGGGTTCAGTTCCTGGCAGCCTCACCAAGTGGCTCACAACTGTCTGTAACTCCAGTTCCAGGGGATCTTACTCCCTCTTCTGGACTCCAAAGATACCTGCACCCATATGAACACATACCTACATAAAATAAATGGTAAAGAGAATTTTAAAAAGGAATCTCAACTCTACGCCTTGATCAGGAGTGTGTAGACAGGAGTGAGTAGAAATGAGGACAGGTGCATGTACTTGGCACCCCTGTATACCATTCCTTGGGTCTCCTGACCAGTGAGAAATGGGATTCTCCCAAGACAACTGCCTGCTGTAACCTGGGCTCAGGGGGAATGCACACGGGGACTCTTCCTGCGTCTCCCACCCTAGGACTCCGGCGCTGTCATCACGGTGGTTCTCACCGAGCACCCACTGCTTCCTCTGCAGCTGCTCGTGGTCCCTGGCGTCACCGGGCCCCCACATGTGAGGGCTGCTGCCCTGCAAGGAGGCCTGGTTCTGAGGAGGATGCCGCGGCCACTCCCCAGCTCCAGGCTGCACCATGAGTGAGGAGCGCCGGCTGCCTGGCAGTGCTGTAGGCTGGCTGGCATGCGGAGGCGTGTCGCTGCTGGCCAACGCCTGGGGCATCCTCAGTGTGGGCGCCAAGCAGAAGAAGTGGAAGCCTCTGGAGTTCCTGCTTTGCACACTGGCAGCCACCCACATGCTCAACGTGGCGGTGCCCATTGCCACGTACGCCGTAGTGCAGCTGCGGAGGCAGCGTCCTGACTATGAGTGGAACGAGGGCCTCTGTAAGGTCTTCGTGTCTACCTTCTACACGCTCACACTGGCCACCTGCTTCTCTGTCACCTCCATCTCCTACCACCGCATGTGGATGGTCCGATGGCCAGTCAACTACCGGTGAGCTCGGGGCAGCCTGGCGTCCTTAGGGAGGGCCTGTGCTTGATGCAGAGACGTGCCTGGTGCGTCTGGGTATACCAGGGCTCCTGCACAGTTGTGCGCTGCCAGGACGGGCGAGAAGGTTGAGTCAGGCTGGCATAGTCTGGGGGCCTGCGGGTCGGCGTGCCACTCAGCACAGAAGTGCGAGGGACAGGTGCATGAAAGGCTCTTGAGTGAGGAACAAGGCCCCGTCCTGTTGGCTGGGTGGAGACTACAGGGCCAGTGGGGGAGGGGTGGTCAGGGCCCTCCGTGGTCCCTCAGAGGCCTGTGAGTAACGCCAGGGTTCTCTATCCTGCCCTGCCCTGTGCCAGGCTGAGCAACGCCAAGAAGCAGGCGGTGCACACAGTGATGGGCATCTGGATGGTGTCCTTCATCCTGTCAGCCCTCCCTGCCGTCGGCTGGCATGACACGAGCGAGCGTTTCTACACCCATGGCTGCCGCTTCATCGTGGCTGAGATCGGCCTGGGCTTCGGCGTCTGCTTCTTGCTGCTGGTGGGAGGCAGCGTGGCCATGGGTGTGGTCTGCACGGCCATTGCCCTCTTCCAGACGCTGGCCACACAGGTCGGGCGCCGGGCCGACCGCCGCGCCTTCACCGTGCCCACCATCGTGGTGGAGGATGCACAGGGCAAGCGTCGCTCCTCCATTGACGGCTCAGAGCCCGCCAAAACCTCACTGCAGATCACGGGCCTGGTGGCCACCATCGTGGTCATCTACGACTGCCTCATGGGCTTCCCTGTGCTGGTGGGTGAGGTCGACGGGTGGGGAGCCCGTCAGGGAGGTGGCCGCTAGGACAGCCTGGGGACTGGGCGTCAGGTGGCCGAAACCTCAGGCCTGACTTCCGAGCTTTGAATTATCACTCCCATTTAACAGATTTGGAAAGCAGAGTTCAGAGAGATTCATGACTCTCCCAGAGTCAGGGTGGATGTGATGAGACTTGAACCCTTGTCAGCTAGGACCCTTTTGTCACACTGCAAAGGCCCTTCCTCCCCTCACCTAAGGCCTCTCTCTGATAAGCAGTGCCACTGCCTTCCCCTGCCCAGGTCCCAGGATGTGTCAGGTAGGTAGGGGACACTGGATCGGTATAGGGCAGGTCCCTAACCTGTGAAGGTCGAATTAAAGGCTCATTAGAAGGCCTTGCAACCCACAGTGCAGTGGAGTGGACAGTGGACACTTCTGGTCACCGGGGACGAGGCTGAAGTCTGGTCCCAGTAAACAGCTCCTGCCAGAGAAGGTCTGGAGAGACAAGAGCCCAGGCCAGAGCCAGCCTACCCACACAGGCAGGAAGGCTGCGTCCCTGGGGTCACCTCAGGACACAGCCCCAGAGAGGTGCGGGGATCATGGGCAGCTTCAGAGTCGAGAACCTCTTGGGCTGCGTCCTGGGCTCACCCTGCCCTCCTGCCCCCAGCAGCCCTGCACCCTCCCACCCTAGTGTACTCATCTACAGTGGGGCCTGATAGCCTAGTCCTGGTGCCAATGGAAGGATTGAAGAAAGGGCCCTGAGAAGCAGGAAGTACTTAGAGGGCCTTAGAGGGAGGGAGGGGTCCGCCCCAGCATTTTCTCAGAGCTGGGAAGTGGGTGCCACGGGTGGAGCAATAAACAATGTCAGGAATTCTCTTTTTCTTTAAGTATTTATTATTTATAGAATGTTCTGCCTGCATGTGCGCCTGCATGCCAGAAGAGGGCACCAGATCTCACTACGGATGGCTGTGAGCCACCATGTGGTTTAACCTCTGAGCCATCTCTCCAGCCCACCTTAGGGCTGGAAGGATGGCTCGGTAGCTAAAAACACTGGCTATTGTAGCAGAGGACCACATGGTGGCTCACGACCATCTGTACAGGCAGGCACATGGCACATGGACATGCATGCAGGCAAAACACAGACAATTAAAGATGAGTCTATAAAAAAATCTTAAAAAAAAAAAAGAATTCTCACCTTCTGTAGTGTGTGTGTTGCTAGCCCATTTCAGAGATGAAGAAACAGAGCCCCAGAGAGACTCAGCAGCTCCCAAGGATCACACACAGATTGCAGAACAGGCACAACACGCCCATTTTACTCTGTTGTGGCATCATTAAACACTTTCCAAGCAGACGAGGGGACGCTGGGAAGGGCCCTAAAGGCCACCTGGTTGGACCCTTTGACTACTGGGTCTCCTCTGAGCTCTGAGCTTGTATGTAGGGGTAAAGGTCAGGAGGCTATTGGCCCAGAAAGATATGGCAGTAACAGAGAAGTGCAGGCTCTAGGCCTGTTTCTCCTACTCTGTCCTTTGGAAGCAAGTGGCAGTAACTCATGGCATGTTAGCCATGGGCACCGGCTGGGCTGCTGCCCAAACACTGTGGAAATGGCACACACAGCTGAGCCGGACACTCAGCTGGCCCTTTCCTCGCCTGGGCCTCTCCACCACCTTCCAGTCCTTCTTTACTGTTTGGGCTCTGCCATACAGACGGGGCCAGTGTGGCTGGGGAGGGTTGGGGGGTTCCTGTGGGTCAGGCCCAGCCCTGTGCCCACAGGTGGTGAGCTTCAGCAGCCTGAGGGCGGATGCCTCAGCACCCTGGATGGTGCTCTGTGTCCTCTGGTGCTCCGTGACCCAGGCCCTGCTGCTGCCCCTGTTCCTCTGGACCTGTGATCGCTACCGGGCAGACCTCAGGGCAGTCTGGGAGAAGTGCATGGCCCTGATGGCCAACGACGAGGACTCAGACAATGGTAAGGGTGGCCTCTAGAGAGGACAGCGCCTGGTGAGATCACTGGGGACTTGGGGGGGGGGTGTCAGCTGAAAGTAGGTAATTTGGTATACCCCACCACAGGGTGCTCAGGTGACCCTGTTCTCCAGCACCAGCTAGTCCCTGTGGCAACACGAAGATGGTAACACGGGCTGACTTGTGCCGTCTGCCAGGAGCTGTCAGCCCATGGGTGTTTAGTCCCATGGAGTTCCCACCCTGAACCTCACGTGAGCTCAGTATGTGAGCCTCCCAAGTGTGCAGTGGCTGGGATTTGAACTTAGAACCCTTGCCCGCCCTTTTCTGAAAACTAGTCCCTTGTGAGGCTCCTTGAAGCCTTCCAGGAAGCCTTCTGTATCCTGTGCTTCTATCCTGTTCTGCAGAGACCAGCCTAGATGGCAGCCTCTCCCCCGACCTGGCGTTGGAGCGCTCCCTTGACTACAGCTATGGAGGTGACTTCCTGGCTCTGGACCGGATGGCCAAGTATGAGCTGTCTGCCCTGGAGGGGGGCTTACCCCAGCTCTGTCCTCTGCGGCCATTGCAGGAGGATCGGATGCAGTATCTGCAGGTAGGTTGGCGCAGAGCACAGGAGCCTCATGAGTCTGGTGGGCCGCAATCTCAATCTCCGTGTCTTTTTCTGTCTCTGTCTGTCTGTCTGTCTCTCTCACACACACTCACACAAAAACACAACCCATGAGGGCGGGCCCATGTTCCCCTTGCCCTGGAAACGGGGTCTATTGATGTCTGTGCTGTGAGCCTTCCCATGAGCCTTCTCGCCAACCAACCCAAGCTTCAACCAAATTGAGGTTCAGAGAGGTTGTCACTTGCCCCAAATCTCACAGCTTCAAACCTGGGGTCCCTGGTCCCTGACCCACACACTGCTCTGCAGGGCAAGGGGAGGCATCAGTGCGGGTTTCCAGGAGGGCAGCCCTGTTTCAGCCCGGCCGGATGCTCACAGGTCCCGCCCACCCGGCGGTTCTCCCACGATGATGCCGACGTGTGGGCGGCAGTGCCGCTGCCCACCTTCCTGCCACGATGGAGTTCTGGCGAGGACTTGGCAGCCCTGGCACACCTAATGCTGCCCGCGGGGCCCGACCGGCGGCGCGGGAGCCTGCTGGCTTTTGCCGAGGATGCGCCCCCGTTCCGGCCGCGCCGTCGCTCGGCCGAGAGCCTGCTGTCCCTACAGCCCTCGTCCCTAGACGGTGGCCCGCGTCACACCCACGACTCGCCTCCTGGCAGCCCGCGTCGCCGCCCCGGGCCCGGCGCCCGCTCCGCCTCCGTCTCGCTGCTGCCGGACTCCTTCGGGCTGACCGCCTTCGAGCGGGAGCCGCAGGCTCTGCGTCGCGTGCCCGCCCCAGCGCGGCCCTTCCCCGCTGCCCACGACGGCCCGGAGCCGGGTGAGGTCCCGACGCCCCCTGGCGGCCGTGTGCAGCGCAGCCACGGACGCCGGGCCGCGCGCGCGCATGCGGGCACGCTGCAGACCGGCCTGAGCGTGTCGTGGGGCGAGCCCGGCGGCCTGCAGGCGGCGGGCTGCGGCAGCACCAGCAGCTTTCTGAGCTCGCCCTCCGAGTCCTCGGGCTACGTCACGCTGCACTCGGACTCGCTGGGCTCTGCGTCCTAGGACCCTCCAGGTCCTCCCCGGAGACGCCACGCAGAAGGAAGACGCACAGCACCAAAGACGCCACCGCGTGTTAGGCGCGCGGACGAGTGCCGCCCACCCGCGGCGTGAATGGGTGGTGGACTGTGCGCCCCCTTACAGTTCCTTCCTGCTGATACCGCCCGGAGGGGCGACGGCCACCCTGGATGGCTGCTCGGGACAGAGACTTGCTGCCGGCCAGGCTGTCCCCCAGGAAGGGGCAGGCTTTGCCTGTGTAGGGAGTGGCGCCTGCTCGTTTGGCACACTGCCACCAGCCCTTCTGAGGCTTGACTGGGCGGTCGGAAACCCCGAGACCACCACGACAAAGGACAAATCCCTTGCGGGGGAAGCTTAAGCCGGAAGCCACTGCCTGCATTCGCGTTCTTCACACAGCGACTGCCTCACCTCGAGGGGGTGTGTGTAGCATGTAAGCACAGGGCATCTTGGGAGCCCAGACGAGTTCTGTTGAGTAGGCTTCCCTGTGACCTGCCTCAGTTTCCCCATCTCCGATGAGCGGACGACCAGATACATCTCTCAGGGCTGTTTGAGAGCACCCCTGGTCTGTGTGCCCTGGCACTCGAATGGACCAGGTATGAGAGGTAGTGCAAGGCCCTTTGTTAGGGCCAGCCTTCAGCAAGTGGCCCCCAGGTCTCAGTGAGCTTTGCCCTCTTGGAGTCTCGCCCCACTTTAGCTAAAGCACAATGCCATGGTGTAACGACCACCTGGACCCCATTAGTGTCCCGTGCTGGAGGTTCCACCGTATTGCCTGCCTCCCACTGTCGGCCACCTGTGACCCCGCTGTGACGGCTGTGGGTTCCTGGCGTAGAGAAAAAAGCAAACGGAAGAGGGCTTCCATGTCTGGGTGTCCATCTCCAGCTTTGCCTCCTACCCACATAAGCAAAGTCCCTGGAAAAGATGTCCTGCACACCACCACCACTGCAAAGAAGGGCTTTGCTCTCTCTCTCCTGGGTAGAGCCCTTTCCGGGTCTGGGCTGTGCCAGGGACATAGGTATCCCCAGAAGAGCCTCTCGGGGCTGGGAGCTGAGGGTTGGAGGGCTAGTGGGGCCACACAGCAGGCCCTGTGTGATAGTCTCAAGGCCAGCACAGAGTCAGCCTGTGGCCTGTTCTCCATGGCCAGGCCCGGCCCCTCTGCCTCTCCCGACAGTTAGGGCTGGCCCTCTCCTGGGCCTTGGGGGCCTCTGCAGTCCCTGGCTGTGGGTTAAGTGAACGATAAACCATTGTAGAACAGGGAAGCAGGGGACTTTGGTCCATCTTTGGACTTGGGAGAAGCTGCCTCTGGCCGCTTGCTGCTGTGCCTTCAGGGACTGACATTATGGGGGCGGGGGTGGGGGGAGGCCACCAGCTAGCCACTGTCTCCCTCACCCACCTTAAAGGGTCAATTTATCACCTTGGGTTTTCACTCTATTTTGTATTCAACGGCAATACTTGTAATGGGGACATACGCCCCTAAGTCACTCCTACTTTTTACAAACCCTTAAGGGCAGCCCCCAGGCAGAGGACACTAGGCATCTGGGGCTCTTCCCCACACCTGTTCAGCCTCCCTGTTTGCTGACACCTGTAAGGACCTTGACCCTGGGGTTACTGGTGATCCAGCTATCTGCATTCCACAGCCCAGCCCACAGTCAGGGATTCGTTTGTAGTCTTTCATTTGTTTTTTGAAAAAACAAAACAAAACAAAAACAGCATCTCTTTTCTGTACAGGACTCAATAAACCTTTCCACATGGTTTGCACAGAGCCTTCTGAGGCTGTTTTCACAGAAGCCTGTTTTCGAGGGGCCAGCCAGCTGCTCCCCAAATCTCTCTCCACCTAGAGCCTGGAGCCTCGGCCAGTGAGGCTCCATAGACCTAACCATTTCTCCAAGTAGATGCTGCAGTCCCCCCTGGCCAGTGAGGCGGGCCGGGGGCCGCAAGAGTAGGAAGCAGGAGGTGGGCCCCAAAGCCCATGATCCTCTGTCACGGTGGCAGCCTGGCGCCTGCTGTTGGGGCCATTGTTTGACCGCCGTGAACTTGACTCTGAACAGGCACTGGTGTTCCCTTTGAGATACCGGCCTCGGCGCCACTCTGGATGCCCCTGGAGTTCAGACTGCTCGGTCTGGGTTCGCTGAGAGGCCGCCAGGTGGCGGAGGAAAACCTATGGGCTTTTCTCGCACCAGGCTAAAGGGCACAGCTGGAACCTCTGCGCTCGCCCTTGCTCCCTCGTCCAGAGAGCCTGCGGTGTGGGGCGGGTTAGCCAAGTTGCAGAGACTCCTGAGTAGACGGCCGTGTTTACCCTCAGGGTAAGAGTCGCCCCAAACTTGGAAGAACCCCTTAGGTAGTTGACATTTGCGGTGAACTCATGTCTCAGCTCTTTACTCACGCCCAGCGTTTATTCGTAATTGTACGTTGGTACTAGCAGGTGCTGAGATTTCGAACTGGGCTCCAGGCTGGTTCACGCCCGGAGCCGGGAGCGAAAAGCCATTTTCTCTCCCCACCGCCGTTGCAGCCCGTGGTAACTAGTGGCGCTGAGCTCGAGTCGAGGGCTCAGGAGGCACTCCGTGGTGTCGGGTGCCGGTCTTTGCAGAACACAAAATGCGCGGCCCTCAGCAGTGCGGCGCCGAGATGGGTAGAGCCTGGGTTGGAGCGAGGCGCGGCATCCCAGCACGCGAAGGACCTTAGGGGTGGAGCCAGCGTCGCGCAGCTGCAGGTACCCGCGCAGGGAGGGCCTCCGAGAGCGCGCTGGCAGGGTGGGCCCGGTGCAGAGGGGGTGTGGGGGGTGGGCTGCGATGGTAGTGAGAGGGTCTTGGGTGGGGGTAGGAGGGGAGCCCCTTTCTGAAGGGGCGGGGCCCAGCGCGCTTTGTGCCGGTGGGAACTGAGCGCCCCTGGCTGGTTGAATGGGCCAGGGCGGGGCAGCGATTCTCCTCGCTGCGAGGGGTCCGCTCTGCGCCGCTGGCGACCGCGACCTTCCCACCGTGACGCAGCAGCGGAGAGGGGGCAGGGGCGGACTGCTAGACGCGGGTCCCTGGGAAAGGGGCACAGCCTACCCGGCCCCTCCCAGCTTCACTGGAAGCGGGAGGAGGAGGGCTGGTTGGGCTGGAGTGGGTGGGGCTGGAGAGGATGGATTCACCTAGACCTGCAGACTCCGGCGCGAGCGGCTCCGCAAGTGGATTTTCCCGCAGCCCCTCCAGGCCACCGATTGATAGAGTCCCTGCAGTCACTATGGGCGCACCAAACATAGTTCCTGTGTCCCCAGACTAGACGGTGGGGTGATGGGAGCAGGGGGGAGGGCTTGCGTCTAAATGCTTGCCTAGGCCTCACCAGGGCCGCCACACGCGAAACCCGGGTCTCGGGCTCTCGGCCCCGCAGCTTGGCGCTGGTTGTGGTGCCGAAACGCCGGTAGAGGACTCAGGGAGACCTACAGGGAGCGGGAGCGGGGACAGCTGGGCCTGGGAGCCACTGGCGGGAGCAAAGGCCCAGACCGCCGGGAGGCAGGGGCTGAGAACAGAGGCAGCCTGCGGGCTGGCGCTGTCCGTGGTGCTGCCCGCCCTCCGCTCGAGCACCAGGGGGCAGCGCAGGCCGCTACCGTCCGCCCCATGCCGAAGCCTCTGGCTCACGCCGGGCAAGCCACCTCGGAAGCCAGGCTGGTAGTCCACCCCAGTGGGTACTGGCCAGAGTCCTGGAAGAAGGAAGGAAGGAGAGGAGGGAGAAGAAGAGAGGAGGAAAGGAGAGAAGCATAAAGACAACAAGAAACATCATCTCGTCAGTGAGGCAAATCTATGCTCGCCCTCTGGCTGCACCACCAACCCCCTCGGCCCCCCGCCAGACAGGCCTTAGCTGCTCTTGCCCACATCCACCGCAGCCAGGTGGTGGACACCCCTCACCTAGCTGTCCACTTGGGCTCTCCTCTCTACCCATACCCCATCACCATCCTAGGATATCCCTTTGTAGAGCAGACTGCTCTCCAACTCTCCATCCTCCTGCCTCAGCTTCCCAAAGACTGGGTTTACTGGCAAACGATGCTATTCCCAGCCCCAAGCCCCCATGGCCAGCTCTCACATGTCCCTCTCAGTGTCACACTGTAGATCTTCAAGCCCTTACTTCACTACCTTGCAATGAATTCTGGAGGCTTTTCATGTACTTGACACTCAGCTCCAAGATGTCAGCCTTCTCCAGCTTTCGTTTCCGTATCTGCCAAGCCATAAAAAGATGGTCTTACCAGGCGGCTGGGAAAGGGGTGAGCCAATGACTCTCCTCCTCTCCTGTCTTACCTGATGGGAGTAGTGTCTCTCCAGGAGAGACTTCAGCTGCTCCAATGACATGTTGATGCGTGCACGGCGCTTCTTTTCCATGAGAGGCTTGGCGATCTGTGGACCAGCCAGTAGATTTTAGAGAAAAGGCCCTAGCTTCCCAGAGCTGCAACCCCACCAACTCACCCGGGGTTCTCACCCCACACCCTTCCGGACATCAGACCTTTCGGAAGCTGCTGGCTGGGCCACTGGGGCTGCCCCTGGATGTGGACTCAGTGCCCATGTTGTGACGTCCGCACAGGCAGTGGGCTGTGCTGCCTTTATAGGGTAGCTCGTTTACATGTCAATGAGGCTCTAGGAACTGGAAATGCTCAGAGGGGGAGGGACACAAAGGGGACACAGGAGAGACATTTTCCTGTCCCTCCCCTTCCAAGTGCCCAGGCTGCCTCTGGCTTTCCTGCTTCCCCGATGACTCCTTTCCTTTTTAATTTTTTTCCCCTTGACCAGTACTCCATTCTGAAGACTATTCTCAAGCCGATGGCCCCTAAGCACTGTTGGGCCAGCTACTGGAGATTCTGAACCTCACTGCTGTCTCTGCCAAGTCCTGCAAGCTCTTCTGTCTCATCCAACATTCGTCCGGCATTCTTCTGGTGGCCCACTGTATAGCAGGGAGCTTTGTGAGCCGCAGGCCACCTAAATGACGATGATGGAGCCCTGCGTATCCTGAGGCCTGATAAGACGCTGAGGCAAGGCGTGCTGCTGGCCAGTGGTGATTTTCTGCTCCCTTCACGCTCTGGCCACACTGAGACGCTGAATTAGGCATCCTAATGTCAGGACAATGTAGCAATTTTCTGCCTGTGGTTGCTCAAAGCCAGTTTAAAGCAAGGCCTGTGGGGGCCACGCAGTAACACGTGTCCCATTAAAGCGTGTAGCCCGCCTTCAGGACCTCAACAGGCCTCCTCCTTCCAAGGACCCAGCTGCTGGAGCACTGACTGCAGCACTGACTGCTGGGACCCAGGACAGAGACCTCTCCCCGGGAGGCAGACCACCCCACCCCCAGTCCTGGCCTTCCAGGCTTGTCATTTTGATGAAGGACCAGTCTCTGAAGAGAAAACAACGGAGCCAGGTGTGTTGGCACATACCTTTAATTCCAGAACTCAGGAGGCAGAGGCAGGCAGGTTTCTGGTTTTAAAACGAATTCCAGGACAGCCAGGGCTACACAGAGAAACCATGTCTCAGAAAAAGAGAGAGACCAGACTACACTGTAGGTCTCTGTACACCTTTCCATTTTCACGTTGTGGGGACACAGGAAGTCCAGCAAAGAAGGCTCTGCAGGACAGGCTGGGCTCCAGCGCAGGGCTGCAATACCCCCGCACCACTCCCATGGGACCGGGGAAGTTTGACTGTGACTAACAAGAAGGATGACCTTCAGGGAACTCCTGGGTTCAAACCTAGATAACTCATTTTCTTACACTCTCACGGTCTTAGTTGGGGGCCAGACTGAACTGGCATTCCTGATAATGCCTGTGAGGCCATGGGAAGAGGCCCAAGTAGTACAGCATTCTCTGTGGCCAGATAATGGCCACATAATGGCCTCCGTGAGGCCTCCAGAGGATACTGCTAGGTCAAGATGCCTCCCAGACCGGGCACCTTTCTGACCCCCTCCACTCTGCTTCCCTCTGGGCATTGACTGCCTCGTCGATGCACTCCTAAGCGCCAAGCCCCGCTCTCCCCCATTCACGCCCAGGCAGAAGTGACCACAACTCCAAAACTCTGGAACGTTCTCGGGCCTCCCGCCTTAGGGAGGGTGGGCCAGGTCCGGGTGGGTTTGGACCCTGGGCTGGTGATAGGGCTGAAGCCTAGTGGCGAGCGCTGGCACGCGCCGGGTAGCTTTAAAGCTCCAGGGCTAGCGGGGCCCTGGCGGCCTCCAAGCGAGTTAGCTACGGCTTAGGGCGGTGGCGGTGCGGTACAAAGGCGCCGCGGGGCCTGCGGGCGGGAGGATCCTCACAAAGGGAGCAGCCGAGTGTTAAGGGCATTGTGCTGGTCGCACAAAGCGGCGCCCGCGTCCGCCTTCTCCGGGCCAAACTCCCGGCGCCCCGCGGCGCACGGGCTTCCAGCTGCCGCACATCTGTAGGGAGGCCGGGCGCGCGCCTCACCTCAGCGGGTCCCCTCCACCCTTCTAGCAGCGGGGCAATTTGTCTTGTAATTACAATACTTCCCCAGAAACTGCTGCCCGCGCCTTTCAGTCCGGTGCATTAGCAAACCAATGGTTCTGTGCACAACTCTCCGGCGCACTACGGGGCGCCAGGCACTGGGCCCGCCCCCTCTCCAGATTTAGGGTCACTATGAAGTCCTGCTCTCTCGCTCCCACCCGCACCCCAGTACCCTCAGTGCCCAGGGATCCCGGCTGCACTGGGTGGGGTTGTTCACGTGGGTGGCTAAGTGTTTCTTAGGTAGTGGAAAATTGACCACAAAATGAGCTAATTCTCAATGTTCTGCTCTGGGGGAAACGAGGCCCGCCAAGCGGCCGGGACCGGATTCTCAGCGGTTGCGCTCTGCTAGGATCCATTATTCAAGTCTGCGCTCCGCTCCGGCACCCTCCCGCTGCCACTCTCTCCGGGGCAGGGTCTCTCCACCTGTGCGGACTTCTCTGCTGTTCCTTCCTCCATCGCCACAAAACACCTCCCAGTGCCCTCTCCTGCGGCTGAGGGTCGTGTGAGATCATGACCAGGAGGGACCCGTCCCCCCAGAACTCTGAAACAGCCCTCTTTCTTCCACTGCAGGAGCTTTCCGTACAGGGTCTTCCTCTAGGCAGTGCTTCTCCCACTGAGTTAAGGCCAGACCTTTGCTTGCAGCAAGGCCACTAGAAAAGATGGCGGTTATTAGGAGATGCAGGCTGAGGGCTGGTGTTCCGTCTGCCCACGAGGGACGGACGTCTGACTTGCACTGGCAGGCACACTCACCCGGGAGAGAGAGCTTTCCCAGAGGCAGCTGCTCGCGTGTTCTCCGAGCAAAGTTCTCGCTTTTGGACCGCTCGGAAGGTTATGACCAACTTAGAAACCTGCTTATGTAAACGGGATGTGGGTCACCAATTGCCTTTCCATCTTTAGCACTCGGGGTCCCGAGGCACCTGGAAAGCAGCACAGACCCAGGAGGAGCAGGGGAAACCCAGGCCCCCTTTGCTCACTCAAGGAGAAAGGTTCCTTTTAGGTTCCCAGAGGGCCCTCAGCCCACCAGCACTCCCACCCTCTCACACACGGAGGAATCTGAGGGGCCCAATGCCTTTGTGCCTTTCCCATTCCAATTTGGCTAAAAGCACACACGGGTCTGGAAACAAAGTGGGAAAGGGGTTTGAACCCCCCAACCAAAGTCTCACCTCCAGTCCCAGGCGCCAGCACTGGGTCCTGGATGAGAGACCCTTTCTTCTCACTGCCAGCTTTAAACCAGGGGTAAGGGACAAGCCTGGCCAGACTGCTGTGGGCACTGGCGGTAACTGGAAGAAGCCTGTTCCCCTCTGCACATGTGTCTCAAAGTGGGAGTAAGTGATTGCTGTGTGTAATTAACTATCAGGGACACAGCAAAGGCCCTGAAATGACTCCGTCGATTGTCTCCAGATGGGGTTGGAGAGGCTACAATTGTTTAACTCTCTTTAGCTGTGTTGAGACTTGGAATAGCCCAGCAGCCAAGGGCCCTTCAGGGGACAAAGGCTGGGGCTTCAGTGAGTGCATCAACAGTGACCCGCTCAGAAGAGGGAATTCAGAGAGACCCTCTTTGTCCTGGTCTTTTGTGTCTCCCTGGAGCTGGCTCTAATCTTTAAATATTTACCCGGCCCTTTTGTGCACATATGACTTCTGCACCGTGGCCTGATGTGCGCATAAATCTCGAGTCATTTCCTAGACTGGAAAGAGGTGCTTTCATTCCTTGAGCCTGAGGAGAGAAAAGTTTCTTTTGGAAGACTGGGGCTGCCTCCAGCAGAGACCCAGGCTCCTCCCCACCGCCTCAGAGCTTCCATGTGCACTCTGGATAGGCCTGAGGCCTTGAATAACCAGGAGCTGCAGGGGGGAAACAGCTTTCTGCAAATAGCTGATCTGGCATCCGTCCATGACTGAAGAGCAGGATGCGAGCTTCCGGCTTTTGGATGAACTAACAGGAGCCAGCTTTCCCCCTGGAAATGTTGCGTGTGCTTGCTTATGAGCCTGGGTGAAGCCTGTCTCATCCGTGCACGCCTGTACCAGCTTGGGCTTGCTCTGCTCTCCTCTTCATGGTCTTGCTTGTTCAGTAAAACCACACTGCTTCAGAAACAAAACCCTGGGGACTGTAGAGGTGCCTAGGTGGTTAAGAGCACATACTGTTCTTGCAGAAGATGGCTCATAACCACCTGTAGCCCCAGCCTCAGGGGGGTTCAACTGGCCTCTGGCCGCCACTGACATCTACACGCGCACGCGCGTGTACACACACCCCCACACACACACACTTAAAAATAATAAATAGAAGACTTAAAAAAAAAAAAGACTGGAACCTGATCTCACCTCAACCTGTGGTTTAATTTGGAAATGTTAAGTGATTTTAGTGTTGGTAACTGCCTCAGGTCATGAGGCACTCAGTCAAGCTGTACAGGGCAATCACCACTAGCCACAAGAAATTGCTTGGCCCCAGCCTGACCATTCTGTTCCACCAGCAAAAACAATATGCCCAGGTATAAAAAAACAACCTGCCCTGCTTCCGGTCAAACCACAAAATACTTGCAACTTCCTGTAACTACCTACATGTGTGTTCATGTATATGATCGATACATGGCTCCTAGCCTTCACACAGAGGAAGACTTTGCTGTTCCAATAATTCAGTCTCAGTCAGCTTCTTTGCTTCAGTTTCTTTACACTTTAAACAAGAGTACGTTCCAGTTGGGCCCAGGCAGGAAAGCTGCTTTAGCCCGTGGTGGTGGCATCTAAGGATGGGAGGGGCATGGGCTGCAGAGGGACACTACCGCTTGAGAGAGAGCTCCTTTTGTACTTGCCTGGAAGTTCCCAGAACAAAACACATTCAAATGCTTATTTTCAAGAAAAGGCAAGCAGTACATCCCAGAACTGGGCATTTCCCCCATGCTTTCTTGCTATTCTGTAGATCTGTCATCTCCTCTATGTGCACAGTGCATCCCCTTATCAGACTGCTCTCCTCTCCTGTGGGAAAAGCCTGTGCTTCCCTGCCCATCTAGGTGTACCCCTCTGCTGACTGTTTTCCTGGGCCTATGTGTGCTCTCCATGTGACTGTACCTCGAGGATATACATGTTGTCTGTGTGAGAGAACATGGGTTCCTCTGGGTATATGTACTCTCTGTGTACAACTATTTCCTTGGGTCCACATGCTCTTTGTGTGGGTGTATACTGTCTCTGTGTGTGTGACTATTCCTCTGAGTATATGCACTCTCCAAATGTGATTGTATCTTGGGTTATATTCACTCCGGATGTGTGGTTGCTTCTCTAGCTATAGGCACTCTCTGAAACTGTTTTCCTGGCACGTGTGCTTTCTGTGTGACTGTTTCTCTGGGTATACACATGGCCAGATGTGTATAGATTTGCCCGCTTGCCCTTCTCCTTCATCACTGCACTGAGCTCTGGGTCCTGAGAGATCCAGCAATCCCTCAAAGTTCCCATTCCCTGGGGTGTAGCCCCATCTGGCATGGCACATCTTTTCCTTCCTCCCACCTCTAGGGCAGGGCTGAAGAAGGACAGGAACCTCAGGGGAGGTGACAGGCAGAGGATGGAGTTGCTGAGTTCTCCCAACCTTGAGTCAGTTATGCTCTGCTAGGTACCTAAGGATGGAGATCAAAAGCTCAGGGCCTGAGAAGGGGCTTCTGCCAGAGAGGGTTTTGTGCCTCACAGTCAAGAGCTTCCTTGAAGTGAAGGGCAACAGGCACCCTCTAGCGGCTCTGACATGTCCTGGTGCAGGGGAGAGGACCTGAGTCTGAAGAAGCAGCCTTAACTCCTGCTCTCAGCCCAGGTCTCCTTCTAGTATGGCACTGAAGCTGTCACCTTTATGTCCTGCTTAGCTTTTAGTGTCAAATTGACACAGACCAAATGAGGACTTGCCTAAATCAAACTGGACATGTCTGGGGGTGGGGGCATCATACCTCAGGCAGGTGATGCTGGGCTGAAGAACGCTACCTAAGTGTGAGCAGATGAGCCAGCCAGAAAGCAGCGTTTCTTCTTGGTTCCTGCCCTGGCTCCTCTCAGTGACCATGCCGTGGACCTGTCAAACCATGAAACTTTCCCTTCTCAAGTTCCCTTTGGCCAGCATTTTGTCACAGCCACAGAAAGGAGACTAGAACGCCTTATTTTGTGTGTGTGTTGCTGTGATTCTGTCACAAACCACTAGATCTGTTTCTAGCTCCCATCACCCCCACTTTAATGTCTCCCAAGCACGATTTCAACACGGTGCAGGGCTTTGTAGATTATTCTCGCATCCTTCTTCCAGGTCACTGGTTTCACTGGGAGAACTCAGGGTCAGAACTCAAACAAGAGCTCAGCAGAAGCCACGGAGGATGCTGCTCTGTGACTTGCTTCCTTGCCCACGCTCAGCTTTCTCATACAGCCCAGGAATACTTACCAAGGAATGGTGCCGCCCACAATGGATCCTCCCACACTAATTAATAACCAAGATGACACCTCTTAGGCATGCCTACAGACCAACCTGATGGTGCAACTCCCTGTCAAAGCCTCTCTTTTCAGATGACTCTAGGCTGTGCCAATGTGATGGTTGCAGTCAAGTAGGACAGCAAGTAAGTGTCAGTCTAAGACAGTGAAATTAGGATTCCATTTTACAGGAAGACAAGCTCAACAGAAGTCACCTGTCTACGGCCACCAAGACAGGATGCAGGGTCCTGGAGCCTGGGATAACAGCCCAGGGTCTCCATCCTCACGCCCATACATCAGGGCTCCTGCCAGGATTAGCTTAGGTGTGTTCCTTCCTGCCTCCGGTTTTAAATCCAGCATCAGCTCTTGGTCCTTCAGTGGTGTCCTCATTTTCAGTACTTGCCAGATCCTAATTTTGTCTTCCATGCACCTTTCCTATGCTGCAGCCCTCTCACCCCAGGGCCTCTCTTCTGGACTGAAATCAAACCAACTCCACAATCCATGGACTGCTTACCTGTCATACAAGAAGCCCTCAATTCGAATCCTAACACCAGATAAAGCCTGGAGTCATAGCTCACACCAGCAGTTCCAGCCTTCCGGAAGGGAGAGGCTGCAGGAGTGTAAGTTCCAGGGCATCTTCCGGGTATCTAGAGTTCGCTCGAGGCTGTCCTGCGCTACAGAGGATACACTGTCTCAAAAGCTAAACAAGACTGGATGTGTAGCCCATGCCTTCCATGTCAGCGCTAGGGAGGCAGAGGCAGGGGGATCTCTGAATTGGATTCCAGCCCTGTCAAACCTACATTGTGTTGCTCCTCATAAATATGTAGAAATACTATATACAGTTAAAATGATAAAAGTGAAGGATGGGGCTGGAGAGATGGCTCAGCGGCTAAGAGCACTGACTGCTATTCCAGAGCTCCTGGGTTCAATTCCCAGCAACTACATGCTGGCTCACAACCATCTATAATGAGATCTGATGCCCCCTTCTGGTGTGCAGATGTGCACGCAGATAGCGCGCTCATATACATAAAGTAAATAAATAAATCTTTTTTTAAAGGGGAGAATTTCTGATTTTAACACTAACATCTTTATGGGTCAATAAAAATCGTCCAGAATGTTGCCACCTAAAAGTATTCGCTGATAGATTTCAATCCTTCGCCCAGGCTTCTTCCCCAAATCAAGCAAGGATGGCATCCCAAAGTTTGGCACGCCGCCTGTAAAAACTGTAGTTCCACTTGGTGGGGAGGGGTGATCCCATTTCTGGGAGGCCACGAAGGCGGGTCCTGAAGGGTGGTCGCCGGGTCCACGTACCCCGCTCGCGCCTGCGCGGAGCCGAGTCTGTTTTGGGGCCGCGGTGCGAACGAGCGGCGGTTATGCTTAGTTGTTTCTTGGGCGATACTTCTACAGCGGGAGTAGGAGGCGACTTCCGGGCTGATGTGTCGCCCCTCTGCTGACGTCAGTTATCCCGAGACGGCGGGGCGGGGCCTGCAGGACGTGCCGCTCGCTCTAAATTCCAGTCCTCAGCTACTCTCCGCGGCATTCTCGCGAGAACTCTCCAGCAGCTCCGGGCAGCTGCCCTTCCCGAGCCGGCGTCGGCGGAGGAGTGCGCAGGCGCGGCCTTCGGGTTTCCCCGGCTACAGTCGGCGTTTCGGCCCTCTAGTCCGCCGCCGGCTCTTCCGCCGCCCTGCGCCATGGCGGGCTGCGCGGCGCGGGTTCCGCCGGGCTCCGAGGCGCGCCTCAGCCTCGCTACCTTCCTCCTGGGCGCCTCGGTGCTCGCTCTGCCGTTGCTCACGCGCGCCGGCCTGCAGGGCCGCACCGGGCTGGCACTCTACGTGGCCGGGCTCAACGCGCTGCTGCTGCTGCTCTACCGGCCGCCGCGCTACCAGGTGCGGAGGGACCGGGGACGGGCGGGCGGGACGTGTGGGGACCAGTTGACATGTACCAGGGACAGGGCGGGACGGACAGGATGGACCAGTAGACCGGGACTCCAAACACGGACCAGGGACGGGGTGGACCGGTAGACCTGGACCAGGGACGGACGGCTGGACCGGGACCGGGCGGGCTTGGGGCAGGGTGGGCGGAGTAGGTGAGGACTAGGCAGGACCGAGCTGTCTGTGATGGGGCAAGGCGGGCCGGGTGCAGTGGAGCTGGAGACAGGGCAGATGAGCCCGCGTAAACAGGGATCTGGAACCGATCAGGCCGGGACGGGGCAACGGTAGGTGGGCCAGGTATCCTAGAACCAGGAAGGCTGGGCTCGGGGACCAGGATCCGTCAGGCAGGCCTGGTGTGGACGGACAGGAACCGGGCAGGCTGGGAGTAGGAATTGGAGCGAGCGTTAAAGAAACACGGCTATGGTGGGCTTACCCCTATCCTCGCCCGCGCCGCGTTACGGGATGCCTCCTACAGGCTTGTATCTCAGCCATAAGTTGAGGTCACAGGAGGGACCCACTTCTAGCTGTAGGTGTTAATTACATTTCGTTAGGTGGAAAGTAAGCAAATACACGGGTTTTTAATTTATGTCAAATGCCCCACTTCACAGAGGTGACTGGGTGCACAGTTCTGGTGTTCTGATTAGAATTGTTGACTTGGGAGTATCAGCCATAAACTGGGCTTAAATAGTTTTTCTGTAGATAGCCCTGTTGTTGCTAGCAGTAATAATAATGGTTATTATTATGGCTGTTAAAATTGGTTATTTTTAGGTGCTTTGCAAGGTGAGTCCTCTGTGCTGCCCCAAAACACAATACTGTTGTTATCCCATGGCGTAAATAGGGAAAGCCTTACTTAAGTATCTTGCTCAAGGCCAGAGGGGGCCGGGTAAGAACGGGGTTTGAACGAAAGCAGCCCTCCTTCATCCTCTTTATCTCCTGAGCAAATGGACTCGGCTCACTGATGGCCTTGCTAATCCAGGACAGCGTGCCATCTGGGTTTGGGCTCTGCAAGTGGAACATCTGGTGACCGAGGCTCGTTTTGGGTGTGTTTTTGCAGATAGCCATCCGAGCTTGTTTCCTTGGCTTTGTGTTTGGCTGCGGTGTGCTACTCAGTTTCAGCCACTCCTCTTGGAACCACTTTGGCTGGTAAGAGAGACTTGGGGATGATGATGTTGAGGTGAGGGTCAACAGTAGTGGGTGAGTGGGGGCCTCTCTTCATCCCTGTCTGGGCTCTGCTAGAACAGGAGGCTAAGTAGGGTTCTGAAGGAGCAGCCTGCTGCCTTCCCTGAATCCCCACATTCCAAGTCTTCTGAACACGACTGTGCATGCCAGTGGATTCTGTGGTGGATGGAAACGGGTCTGTCTGTGCCCTCTCCAGAGGTCCCATCACCTGAAGTTGCTGTGAAGGGGTGCAGGTCCGCGGTGATGGGAAGGGGCGAGTGTCCCTGTGTCTTCTAAGCCTTTTCCATCTCGGTTTCTATTAGGTCCCGGCTAGTGCTCCCCCCACAGCCAGTGTAGGACTTTCCCCTACACTATGAGTTCAGTCCCTTGAGCCTTCTAGCCTCTGACTTGGATATGAATCGTGGCTTCAAGGTAAAAAGCTTTATCTCCTATTATCAGTATGCTGAGCCATCTAATCCTTTGCTGGAATTATTTTAGTTTTGTTGAATTTTGTTTCCCAACATGTGTCACTACTTTGTTGATACCCCCGTTTCATGTTAAAATGTGAATTGTCATATTAAAAGGAATAAAAGGGACCATAGTTTCCCCTTCACCTTTGGAGATTTTTTTAGTTTTGTCTGTGACATTCAGAAACATGACAGCACCACTCACTCAACCCCACTTCTGCAAGCTGGAGAGGGAAGGGATGGCATGTATACGGCCTGTGTCACTCAGGTGGGTGATGCAGCACCGTGTGACTTTAGGGACAGTTCTGTACACCCAGCTCTGTGCTTTTTGTCTACCCTGGCTCTCCTGCCTGGTTTACCGCTTTCTCTTTGTTTCTAAATAGGTACGTGTGCTCGCTGTCACTATTCCACTATTCTGAGTATTTAGTGACAGCTGTCAATAATCCCAAAAGTCTGTCCTTGGATTCCTTCCTCCTGAATCACAGTCTGGAGTACACGGTGGCAGCGCTCTCTTCTTGGATAGAGTTCACACTTGAAAACATCTTCTGGCCAGGTTGGTATGCCCTACTTTCCTCGCTTTGGGAGAGAAGGTTGCCTTCCACACAGGCGGAGGAGAGTGACATTGGCTCACCTCTCAGGTCTAATCTCCCCTGAGCAATTCTCCCCAGGCCTCTCCTCCCCCTAAGCTATTTATAAAGCTGGAGAATTCTGATCCAGGGCGTGTTGGCTTTTTGCTCTAAGCCTTGCATAATGGCTTACCTAAAATGCAGCCCAACCTTGCTGGTTGTAGTCTTCATTTTGCCATTGAACTAGGTGAAGTTTGGGCCTGAATACTTTTCTGTAATGCAAGAATTTTATAAGATTTCATTATTTAAAACAAAAAAAAACAAAAAACAAAAAACGCTCTGTATTGGAAACACACTTAAACTTCCCAAAAAGCTGGATGTGGGTCCTAGGACTGCCTTTGGAAAATGGAGCCTGTGTCTTGCTTCTCTGTGGCTGTGAAGAGAGCCCGTGAGCCCAGGCAGGGGTGGCGGCCTACAGAGGACTTGTTGGCACTTGAGACAGAAAACGGTGGCACTGCTTTAGTGTGATGGTAGGCGCTGCTTGCCCACCGGGTGTTTTCTGGTGTTTCTCTCTTTAGGGAAATAGGTTCATTTCAAACGGTGAAGGGGCAATCAGCGCCCCAGTGTTCCAACTCCCTCTTTGTCCTCGTGTCTGTTTCTGCAGAACTGAAACAGATCACCTGGCTCAGTGCCACTGGGCTGTTGATGGTGGTCTTTGGAGAATGCCTGAGGAAAGCTGCCATGTTTACCGCCGGCTCCAATTTCAACCACGTGGTGCAGAGTGAAAAGTCGGACAGCCATACCCTGGTGACGAGCGGTGTGTACGCCTGGTTCCGGCACCCCTCCTATGTGGGGTGGTTTTACTGGAGTATCGGAACCCAGGTACAGTAGCAGGGCTGACCCGGCTTCTGTGAGTTTACTTCCTAAGCTGCTTTCTTTTCAGGATTGGGACAGGCTCTTGCTATGCAGGCTGCCTTTGGACTTGGAACCCTCCTAGCTAGGCCACTTGACTTCTTTACATTTTTTAAGTTGAAGTCTAATCAATTAGCACAGCATAAAACGCATCTTCTCTAAGTGTGCACTGAGGTGTTTTCAGGTGTGCACAGGCTACTTGTGTCATGATATGCTCCCTGGCATGCTTCAGGTGGTGGCTGATAAAAGCTGGAGACCTAAAATGAAGTCGTTCGGTGTTTCAGAGGTAAAAGCTGGGCATTGTGTTGAATTAATTAGTTATTGCATTTGTTTTAAACTCGAGGACAATCTGCTCTTTAAAGGAACCCTGGGCAGAGAAATGGTAAATCTTGGAGCCAGCTTCAGGGAGCAAGGAAGCCAGAGTGCCAGTCAGGGAGGTGAAAGCTTAGACACTGGCCAGGGAGCAGCCGGGAGCATGCCCGCCTTTTTGAATGGCATCTCAAAGTCCACCCACTTGTGAGCACGTGACCCTGGTGGTGGTCCCTGTATCGCGCCCTGCATCTTGCCCCTTCTGCCACTCTGACTGGGATCGGGAACACTTTGGGCGAGGAAAGGTTGACTTTGGAGAGCAAGTGTCCTTCTCAGTCACCCTGTAGTGGCTCAGTGGGCTTTTGCTAAAAAAAAATAGGTCTAAATGAGGCCACGGCCCTGCCAGGTTAATGAGTGCTGTGGGGTTTGCTCTGTCTCAGGATGCAGACCAAACCCTTGTTTTTTGAGAGCTGTCTCTGGATTCTATACTTAGTCCTAGAACAGTTTGGCTAGAGAGTGTAAATAGAGCCCTGGAAGATCATCTGGGGCCGCAGACACCTCCTGGGGATTCTGGTGACCCCATAACAGTGTGGAAAGGTCAGGTGACTCTAGCAGTTCTTTCAAAGCTTTGTATCTGTACCTGTCACACTGCTCCGCATTCAGGCCCACACTGGTAGGGGTTGGTGAATGTAATTTGCCGTAAGTGTGTACCAAAGTGCTTCAGAGCCGAAGGATTTCATACCTTTATGGATCATAGGTATTTTCTGTGTTGTGTCTTAGTGCATGTGCTTGCCTCTGTGTGTGTGTGTGCGCAGAAAGCTACAGCATGAGGGTAACACCCAGGAACATAGTGGCTCTCAGGAAGCCACACAGTGCTCTGCGGGGCTCCTGGGCACCAGCAAGAAATGCTGTGGGGAGAAGGGGCTTGGCATCAGGCTTCTCTGACTGGGGTCATCCTTCACTTCCTTCCTCGGCCAGGTGATGCTGTGTAACCCCATCTGTGGCGTCGTCTACGCCCTGACGGTGTGGCGCTTCTTTCGTGATCGCACAGAAGAGGAGGAGATCTCACTGATCCACTTCTTTGGGGAGGAATACTTGGAGTATAAGAAGAGGGTGCCCACAGGCCTGCCGTTCATAAAGGGAGTCAAGGTGGAGCTATGACAGGGAGAAGCCGATGGCACCAGAGAGCCTGCGGCCCTGCACAGCCGAGGACAGAACTACTTCCCTGCAGAATGAGTTTCCTAATCTTTTTATATGTCACTAATTACTCCTCAGAACGCCACCCAAGACCTGCTGGTCAGAGGTCTTAGGACCAAAGGACCCACAGCAGCAGTCTCTTGTACTGAATGAAGGTAGAAGACAGGTAAACAGTGAACAAGGAGCACGTCACAGCAGTTCATCAGTGCCCCTTTCATGGTGGCAGGATGAGGACCCAAGCCAGTCTTATGCCGCTCAGGCCAGAGTATCTTTGCTCCGTGACCATGATCCTCGGGAGATGTGGACACTGCCCTTTGCAGGACTTATACCACTGAAGGTGTGGTCAGAGTGGCCGAATGTCAGCATGAAGGTGCATCAGAATCCTTTCATTTAGCCCAACACAGAGCTTTAACCTTTGTCTGCCCATAAGAGCATGGGCATCTGTATTAACTCTAAAGACTTCTACACTTTGGCCCATCATACATTTAATCATATTTACCTACAAGTTTTACAAAAATAGCAGTGTACATTCAAAGGGACACTGATTCTCCTTGCCTTGGAGTTTCTGACTTCAGCTTTTATTTGGCAACAGGCAGCACAGACCTCAGAGTGCTCTGCAGCTTTGAGTGGCATGGCCCCTGGCCTTGGGGTCTCCTGCGGTCCTGGCCTTGGCTCTTCTGTCCCCGAGGAAGTGCTTACCAGGGGCCTGCGCTCATGCCGAGAAATACTGCCCACCGTGTATTTGGGGTTTTCACTCTCATTTTATCATAGCTTGTGTTTTCTCTTGCAATGTGAGTCAGTCACATTTGTTTCCTGTGTTCTTCCAAAGGAAATCACCCCTGCTGCTGCTTCAGTGTTTTTCAGAGGGTTCCAGCTTAGCTCGTGCACCCAAGAGTTGAGGCTAATGACTCGTAACAACAGTCTGCAGTAGAGCAGCCTGCTTGAGGTTGGAGGGCATCTTTGTGCTGTAGGTCTGGGAGAACATTTGGCTTTTTGTATGTTGAGCATAAAAGTTTTAAGAGGTGTGGCCCTTGATTAGTCCTGGACTGACTGGGGCTTGGTCCTGGCGTGAGGTCCTTCCAGACTTGAGGTTTTGTTTTTCTCAGAGTGTCTGCTTCGAGCTGTAAAAGGGTTGTATTTAACTATTCAGCAGACAGGTATGAGCACACATGGGTGAAGAATCCGCTCTGAAGATTTCAGCACGTGTCAGCTAACACTCAGTGCTGAAAGTAGGCATGCAGCAGGGTTGGATGGAATGGATCCGTATACCTCACCTTCCTGCTGTTTTCATTTGGAGTCCAGATCAGCTGTCGGAGTGCTCTGAGCAGCAGCCAGGTCCTCAGCCTGGGGACAAACCGTCCTTCATTTTCTTCCCGTGAACCACCGAGCAGAGACATTCTTAGCAGACACACCACAGGGCTGAGAAGAATAGCTGCTCAGTGCTCCTGACCCTCAGCCTCTGGCTCTCCACATGGCTCTGTCCTCCCAGGCCTCAGAAGACCGCCACCCTTCACAAGCACACCACTGCACAGAAACACAGTTGGTAAACATCAGCTCAGGCAAGCCCAGGCCCCAGCAGTGGCCATGGTGTTGCTAAGCATGCTGGCAGATTGCTGTACCTAGGCCAGGTCTCCACCGGGGCACCACGGTGTGGGGTTGGTAATTGATGCCAAGCCGGAAGCCAGTGGGACAGCAGTCCGCACAGTGGTTGCTGCCCCAGGACCCACTGTTGTTGGCAGTGTCGGCATTGACATTACTGGGAGCCACATCACAAAGGGGAAGCAGCAGGGAAACATTTCACTGGTCCCTGCCTCAAAGCAGGACTGGTGCACGGTGCCACAGTGAGCTGCTTGTGGCAGAGATAATGGCACATGTCGCTGATGGGACTTGACATGGGAACACCAGGTGGGTCCGGTGTGCTCTAAGAGGGTGGGTAACAGTAATATGGGTTGAATGCGGAGGACTTGTCAGCCCAGGAGGAATAGTCAGGTGCAAGAACGGTATTGTGTGGTAGGTTTCAGACCGGGTTGATGAAACCTTGGGGGCTGTGTGAATGGGGGATCCTAGCTTGTTCTTGCCATAATAGACGACCCATCAATAGGAGGTGACCCCAGCATCACCCCTCCACCAGAACTTCTGGGAATCCAGAAGCCTTAAAGACTTGTGCCCTGGTCAGCTCAGTAAGGCAGGAGGAAGGCTAGCAGAAGAGCCAGGATTCAGCCGCGTTGGAAGTGGCCAGCCTGCAGGCCTCGTTATCCCTCAGTGTGACGGTGAAGGGGGGTGTAGCCAGGGCATCGCTGTCACCAGCACACCCTTCTGGGCTAGGGCTTCCCCGTCAGTAGAGTGGGGCTGCGCCACCTACCTCACAGGGTGTGGGCACATGATGCTTAGACATGCACAATGGCATGATGAGATTTTACAGTGTGAGCACTGGGTTCTGTGTGTTAACTCAAGATTGCTCATGTATGTTCAAAAAGCATTTGCCAGCTCACAAGTAATTTATTTTTAGATTTCATGGCTTAATTATTTTTCTTGTTCTATATACCAAAGAGGCTTACGGGTTGGCCAGTTACCATGTGAGGCCAGTTGGCATAGGAGCTGCCAGCCCTCAGGACCTGAGGCTTGCAGGGCTCTGTGTCAGCCATGGCTGTTGTCCACACCAAGCTGTCCAGGAATAACACGGTGGGACATGAATACTCAGTTTTGAGATATGAGTGGAGCCAGACCACACCTCCAGAAGCCCCTCCACTCACCAGGCTGTGAGCGAGAGGGGATGGATTTTTGGCAGTCATACCCAGCTCTTTCGCAGTGCATCTAAGTTGGGCTGGCTGCAGCCTCCCATGCCCCTTGAGGGCCATGAATTTGTCTTTTTGATGGATGGAGAGTAGCTAATGACAGCCCTTCGCATCGTGGGTGGTAAGGCTGAATGTTGCCATTTGATGTCACCCTCTTCCTGCCAGAGGAGGCCAGAAAGCTCAGCCGTGCAGCAGGCCAGGAGAGAGGGACCCAGGCCGTGGGATCTCTCGACGCGATGCTGTGTTGTGCCCTGGGAGAGGTGAGGTTGTGTTCTGTAAAGAGTAATTCCAAAGGTGTGGGTGGTGGGAGAACAACCCCCCTCCTGACACTCCTGGTGCGGATGTCACAACCCACAGGGGAATACGAGCTCAAGGGCAGGACTTGCCAGGTGACTGGTGCCCTCTGCCGCCGTGTCCTAGGTGTCCACAAGTTAAGGACTGTCAGGTGATTGATTTGTTCACTTGCAGGCCTCAGAAGGGAGGTGGCTTCTATACGGAAGAAAGGCTACTTGCAGTCTTGGGGAAGGAAGCATTCAGGAGGCCCTTCAGCTGCTACTGTGGCAGTTTGCAGAAGAGTGAGCCTCCAAGCAGGGCAGAAAGCTCACAGCGGTGTCCTTTGTGGGGCCTGGGGTCGCTGCTTGGACCCAGGGTGTGCACCTTATTAACCCTTCCTGCTCAGTTGCTAACTTGGGGCCTGGTGTATCAAGGAGGCCACTCTTAGTGTCAGATCCGGGAGGGCTCAGCCAAAGCTCCTAGGGTCACCTCCTTCAGTCCGCCTGTGAGCCCTGTCCCTCTGCACTGCACCCTGCCTTAGCTAGCTCCACTTTTACAGTGGTGGCCAGGTTTGAGCCCTCAGCCTTCCCGAAGGGTGGGCAGCTGCACGGCTGTGAGCCTTGTCCCTCGCTCATCCTGAGTGGAGGCAGCTTGTCTGTGAGGAGGGGTATCACGGAGTAATTACTGTACTGTTCTTTTTACATACAGAAATCTTTATTTAAATATATTAAATGGGATTTTCTTTCACAGATACTGATTATTCTTTCTAATTCTTAAATAAACTACTTGGTTTCCCTATGAACATGCGTGACTGTAGGATGTAGAAGAGTACCTGATAATCGGGTCTACACGAGAGTTTGGCACTAGCAGCAGCGGATTTCCTTGGCTCTTTGAGCACAGCGGCTCTCGACCTTAGCGCTGCGACCCTTTCATGCAGCTCCTCCTGCCGTGGGGACGACAGCCGTACAGTTATTTCATTGCTGCTTCGGGACTAATCTGCTTCTGTTATGAGCGCAGAGTGAACATCTGATATGACGGAGTCTGACGTCCGACTCCAAGGCCCCCAGGTTAAACCACTGCTCTACAGCTTGTGGACCTGAGAGCACATTATCAGTGTGATTGTGTGTGTGTGATGTGGCAGCCTCCCTGGTACACAAAAGCGACATCTGCTGTTTAACTGAGTCGCGCTGTGTCTTGTCTTAAAATGGACTGCAGGGCCATCATTTCGTCTCCCAAAACAGACTTTGGGTCATGCAGCTTGAATTTTTTTTTTAATGTGTATTTTACCAGTTTGTATGTGGTACCTACAGAGGCCAGGAGAGGGTGTTGGGTCCCCTGGATTGGAGTTGCAGGTGGTTGTGAGCGCCATGGTGGGATCTGAACCCCAGATCCAATGAAAGAGCAGCTGTGTTCTTGACCCCTGAGCCACACCTCAGCCTGGGCCAGTTGACAGCTCACTAGGGCCCAGCTACTCAGTGGCTCGCTCAGTGGGGCTGTCACCCTCATGGAGATTTTTCACATCACTTTATTGTGTATGTGCCTGGGAGTTCTTCCTTCTGCCATGTCGGTCAGGTCTTCAGGCCTCCTCATTTTCAGCTCATCTGTCATCTCCGGCTTCCTACTTGGGTGTGAGGTGGCCTTGGTTCTTTAGTGAAGGTCCTTCTGGGAGGCTGCTCAGGGCCCAGCTCCTTCCACTGGGCTCAGGCGCCTTTTGTCTCTTCTCAATGATGCTCCCTGGAATTACCCTAAAGAACAGTCTGACGTGAGGTGGATGACTCCATGCCTGTCCCCTTGCTATGTCCACTCTGGCCAGCTTTCCTGAGGGAAGACCTTTTGGAAGGCCCAAGTGAAGGCCCACACCCACAGAAGCGGTGGTGTCGGCGCCCCTTGAGACAGCCTGGCCCTTTCCAGTGACAAGCATTGGAACAGCTCAGGCTGGTGGGGCCTGCGGGCTGGGGCTGCCCTAAAGCACGTCAGCTTGGTAGGGAAGGGTGAGACTGCCTGCTTCCAGACAGCTCTTGAGTATAAGACCTCATCCTCAGTGACTAGTGCTTGCCTGTTTTTTGCTTTATTGTTTTGGTTTGGAGTTTTCACATAGCAGTACAGCCCCAACTACCCTTATTTAGCCCAGGCTGGCTTTGCTCCTGAAGTCCTGCCTCCATCTTGCTAGTACTGTGATTACAGGTATGGGTGTGAGTGTGTGCTTGTGTGTGACACACTATGTGCATGTGGAAGCCAGAGAACAACCTAGGGTGTTGTCCTCAGGCCCGTCCACCTCCTCCCTCCCTCCCTCCCTCTCTACTGTCCTCCCTCCTCCTTTCTTTCCTTCCTTCTGTTTTTTGGTGTCAGGGAAGCACCTTTCACTGGCCTAGAGCTTTCCAGGTAGGCTTTGATGGTGGCCAGCAAGCCCTAGGGTTCCTCCTGTCTCCTGTGCTGAGATGACACTCAGCTTTTCATTTTGTTTTGTTTTTGTTTTTCTTGACAGGTTTCTCTGTGCAGCCCTGGCTGTCATGGAACTTGCTCTGTAGATCAGGCTGGCCTTGAACTCACAGAGATCCACCTGCCTCTGCCTCGTAAGTACTGGGCTTAAATGTTTGCACCACCACTGCCCAGCGCAACACTCAGTGATTTTCATGTTGGTTTTGAGGGTCACACATTTTATACCTGAGCCAACGCCATGGCCCATTCCTGTTTTACAGCCTAGGTCTTTTATTTCTTTTTGTACATTAAGCCAGCAATTCAGAGGGACTGGGCTCTAGCTGCCCAGCCCCTTCCTCGATCTCACAGGAGCAACCAGCTGGCACTGCAGGGGAACCTGGGCACCTTTCTATTTGTTTCCTTTATCCTGGTCATTTCATTTGCCCCTTGAGGGGTGTCCTGCTGCGTAGAGGGCTCAGCCTGCTCACCCCACACAAACTCCCTTTATCTGCTTACCTACAAGGATGCCAGCAGCATGTGGGTTTCCCCAGGACATTCTGGTTTGGACAGTGCCCATCCCCTTGATGCCTACAGCACCACCCTTGTAGACTGGTTACATGTGGCCAAAGAACAGCTCTGTGTTCCCCAAAAGCCCTGTCCTGTAAAACAGCAGGGCCTCTCTCCTTTCCCTTTGTGCTTGTCGTTTTGGTGAATTACTGGAAGACTTGTTTGTTGTTTTTCTTTGTGGGTTTCGTGTTTGTGTCTTTTGAGACAGGTCTCACTTTGCAGCGCATTCTGTTCTCAAACCTTGTATGTCCCAGCATCTGTCCTTTTGTTTGTCTCTAATCAGAGCAGTCGCCACCCCTCAGGTTGCAAAGAACCTGCCTTGCCTGGCTGGGGTCTCAGCGTGCCCGCTTGCTCATCCACAGGTGCCTGGAACCTGAGTGAGAGAACCAGCAGAGACTGCTCGAGGGCAGCAGAGTCCCTGCTGGTGGCTGTAGACACACTGCTCCAAGCCCACAGGGCAGTGGGCCTTCCAGGGCCCACCTGACACAGCTCCCAAGGTCCAGAGGCTTGTCGGAGCCGCTGGCCACAGTAGCCTGCGGGCCAGTCGGGCGAGACAAAGGAAATAGGGGCCAGGCCATGTGGAGTGACGTGCACCAGGCCTGCTTTAGCTGCAGGGTGGGGAGCCTTTCTGTGTCGGCCTTAGTGATGAGGCCCTGAGACAACCTCGAGGTCCAGAACTGGGAACTAGTGCAGTGGCTCCATGGGGACCCGAAAGGCCACTGTGGCCAGGGGGTTGTGTGGGCAGGGAGGGGCTCTGGGCAGCTGCATGCCATGTGATGGGAATTGTGTACTGTTAAAGTAAGGCTGTGGGGCACGTTGAAGGTCACAGCAACACAGAGTAAAGGGGCTGAAATGGAGAGTTCGGCCTGTGGGTCTTGGGGTGGGTTAGAAATGGGAACAGGTGAGAATGGAATTGGGCTGGCCCCAGGCTTTGACCACACACAATGCTGTTGATGAGGGCAAGGAATGGGATGTTATGGGGCGAGGGCCAGAGTTCTGTTTGCCACAGCTGAGCTGAGGAACACTGACACCCTCAAAGAGATCAGGAAGGATGTGGCTGGAGGTGAGTCTGGAGCACAGGGGTGCATCTGTATCAACTTCAGTGCTTTAGAACCAGAAAACAGGCTGGAGAGAGACTTAGAGGTTAAGAGTACTGACTGCTCTTCCAAAGGTCCTGAGTTCAATTCCCACATGTGGCTCACAACTATTGGCAGTGGGGTCTGATTCCCTCTTCTGGTGTTCATGAAGACAGCACTCGCTCCCACACATAGCCATGCACACACATACTACATATAATAAATATATAGTAATTAAAAAATAAAACCAGACAACTGGCTGGGTTGGACAGCTCAGCATACTGTACATGCTTGGAGAGAGAGAGCACGGGAAGATGAATGGGGTTGCCTAAGGAGAGTGGAAGGCCTGGGGTGAGGCCTGGGAGAAGTGTTCAGGCAGTGGGCTGAGGAGCAGGGCCGCCAGGAACCGAGGAGTGGCTAGCCGCAGGGCAGTGTATAAGAAGCACACCTGAGAATGCCCAGAGCCCAAGGGGAGAGGGAAGCACACGCAGCACTCCACAGAGGCCTCTCGGGAAGGAAACCAGAGAAGGATCAGAACCCACAGGCCTCTTGTCCCAGGTGCGTCCTGCTGACCTCCAGCTGTCGCTCTGCTCTTTGCTTCTGGCTGTACACTGAGCTGAGCAGATGCCAGGGTCAGCTGCTACATAGGAAATAAGCACCTGGACAAAGAACTCAGAGGTGAGACTTCTGCTCAGCCTTTGGCAGCAAGAATATCCCTGGGAAACAAAAGATGGGGGCCTCTGCCAAGCTGGAGAACCTCAGTTTGATTCCTAGAACCGGCAGTCCTGCAAAGCTTCCTTTTTAATTCACATGTATTCTGTGGCACACATGTGCCTATGAATACATGCACACAAACACAGAGCGTTTTTTGTTTTTTGAGATAGAGTCGCAGTAATGCTGGCTGACCTGAAATTTGCCATGTAGATAGACCAGGTTTTGGCTTTAAGCTCACAGAGATCCACTTGCCTCTGCTTCCTGGATTCTAGCATTAAAGGTATAGAACCACCATATCCAGCCAAAAAGGAAAAGAAAAAGCACCAAGCTGAGCAAGAAGACTGAAAGAGAAGAAGAAATTGTCCAGGAAGTACACAACAAAGTGAAAAAGGTAACGTGGAAGGCCAGTGTTCCATCATAGGAACACTAAAAAGAGAATCAGTCAGGGCAGCAACTGAGTTTTAAAAAGAGTACATCAAATCCCAAGCCAAAAGACACGAACTTCCAGATTGAGTGGAAGCAGTAGCTGGGGACACCTCACCATGTGAAAATTTAAGACACAGGCAAGACAGGACTCTGCGAGCTTCCAAGAAGAGTGGTTACAACGTCTCAGTACGTGGTTAGGAGTCAGAAGAGCTTAACGGCTTAGGAGCATTCCCTCAGCTCTCAGCAACAAAGCTCCCTCTTCAAAGCACAGTTCTCCAGTCTAGAATTTCCAATCCAGAATTCAAGACTCAAATTGTCAAGTGCAAAAGAGAAAGAGAGGTGTTTTTGGATCCATGCTGTCTGCACACAGGCCTCTCCAGAAGCTAATTTCTGCTCTAGCTGGGAGATGGGGTCTATCAGATAGGAAAGGAAACAGGAGGGGACAGGAGGCAGGCAGGGCATGTGGAATTTCAGCTCCTTTAGGGGCACAACATCCATAGTGAACATCTTTTGTCACCAGTCAGCCATGGTGGTAGAGGAATGCTATTATCCCAGCATTCTAGAGGCAGAGGCAGGGGGATCTCTTCAAGTTGGAGGCCAAACTGGACTGTATAGTAAAATCCTAACTCAGAATAACAACAAACTAAGCACTGAATAATGAAAGCTTTGATTATTTCTAGATTGGTTCAGCATATGAGTGAGACTTTAGGAAACCAAAACATCCCTAATATGTTCACGAAGCCCAGGCTAGGGTACCAGAAGCCCACACACCGCTGTGGTGACCCTGGGGCAGCCTCCACAAAGGCCCTGTGGGAAGAGACTAGCTCTGCTGGTGCAGAGTGCTGGGAACAGCATGGCTTCAACTGAATCTTGGGACTCACTTGTGCTAAGATTACAGGCCTGCACCATCCAGTCCAGTTTGAGAGGGCCTGGTCCAGACCTGTTCAGTCATGAGCTGATGAAAGATGCTGAGGCCACAGAAGACTCAACATTCTCAAGTTCCTCCTGCTTTGCTGTGCTGCGGGATGGACGGGGCCACCATGTACCGAGCAGCGGTCTCAGTCTGCCCAGTTTCCGCTTCTTAGGGTTTTTATTGTTTTGTTTGAGACGAAACAACTGCCCCAGCCTAGAGTGGGCACCAGCACTCCTGAGGCAGACTCGCCCTGCCAGCCTGGCCTGCTGGCTTCCTCACTGGCACCTTCCCACACATTCCCACCTGGGCTCCACTTGGGCTTCACCCTGGCAATGGAGCGGATGTAGGGTATGATCTGCTTGGTGATGGTGGTTAGGTAGGCATGCTCCTGCTTCCGCTGGAGAAGGTCTGCATGGAGCTGGGCTGCAAGGGCAAGGCCAGAGTGTTGGCTGCACCATCTAGAGACCCTAACTTCCAGTGACTTCTGTGACCCAAAGGAGCAGCATGTTGGCTGCCCGCTCCCTGGGTCCTAACCTCAGCTGCAGGTGTGAGGCCAGGCCAGACACTAGGGGAGGGGCAGGGGCTGAGCATGCCCGGTTAGTGGCCGGCTGACTCCCTCCTCTGCTTGCTTGTGGATTAACACTAAGCACCCAGGCAAGGGACCTTCTTAAATCTGCTGGTGGCTACTCGTTGGTAGGAGTCCCCCCAAATTTGAAAGAGAAGAGTGGCAGGCTGGTTAGGTGGGGTGGGAAGGAGGAATTTCACCGGTGGTGGGCTCTGCTCTGGGAGCCACATAGTCACACACACACCAATCTGGTTCACGCCTCTCTCAGGAGCAAAGCCTCCCGGCACAGAACCGCAGCATGAGGCTCTGGCAGGGCACCACGGTCAGGCACTCTCTCCCTTCCTGACTCAGGGTAGCCTTGTGCTCCGTAGCCAAAGCTCGACTAGCTCCTGGGGGCGGTTAGCTACCTCCTGGAACCCTGCTCTCATGCCTTCCATGGAGGCGTACTCGGAAGCGATCTGTGCGTCCAACAGCAGGCACCTGTGCAGATGTCCGCCATGATCCCCGCCTTGATGAGTGCGAGGTGCTTAGGGAGGTCTCGGCGCAGCTCCTGCACCTGGTCCTCCAGGCTCTGCACCCCCACCTGCAGACCCTGCGGCAGGTGAGCGAGCGCGGGAACACTGCTCCTCCCGCGGAGGCGTGGCTTCCAACCGGCCTCAAGGCAGTATCTTAGCGAGGAAAGGGTGGGGCGCACAACCCTGCGATGCCCAGCCCCGCCTCCTCACCCTATAGGAATTCTCGTTTTGGCGGCAGTGCTCTGTGAAGGGTGTATCCTCGCCCTCGGCCAGAAGCACCTTCGAGCTAAAGGAACCGGTTTCTGGACAGGTGACGCTGACGTCTTTCCCATTGGGGAAAGCTGGTGTCTTCAGCCCCCTTCCAACCTGTGGAAAAAGCCAGCGTGCACGGGGAGAAGGTTGCCCCCCCCCCCCCCCACTCAACTCCCTTGGCTGCTCAGGGAGCCACTGCCCCCTCAACCCAAATGCAGGTTTCAACTCCTGGAAGCTTTCAAGGGGCTCTGGCGAGGCCAAGGTAAGGGCAACCACGTGATTTGGTGGTTTCTAAAAGCCGCCCTCCCGGCCCCGCTGGGTCTGGGTACACCCGAGTGTGCTCACACAGTCTGAACTAACAAGCGGTCCCTCTCGCTCTCTTAGCTCTGGGCTGGAAGGCCCAGTCCTCCGCGTGCCGGCCTCACTACTTCTGCTCTCTCCGAGGCTCTGGCTTTCCACCTGTGCCAGGGACTCTGATTCAAAGTGACTCCGAAAGTGCCCAGCCTGCCAGAGGATGCTGTGGAGGAGGGGAGCGCCCAGCCTCTCAGTCATCCGTGGCCAAGCTCCTCTCGCTGTCCCAGCGTGCCCAGGGGCTGTTCTACGTCTCTCCCTCCCTCCCTCTCAGACTGCCGCCTGGCCCAGACATCTTGCGGAGCTGGGCGCTTGCGACCCAGCAGGGAAGGGTAGTGCGGGAGCCTTCCCGAGTGATCCCGCCCGCCTGGTTAGGGCTCACGTGTTGGCGCCGCCTAAGGTGGGCACAGCGCGGCGGGGCCCCAGCAGCAGCGGCGGCTCCAGACAGCGCGCGAATTCTGTGCGGTGGTCGCTGGCGATCTGCACCGGGGTTCGGGTCATGAGCGGCTCTCCCCCTAACCCGGGGTCTCCTGACCCCCGACCCCTGACGGGGCTGCCGCGCACCTTGCTGCTCTGAGTGGGTCATAGGCGGTGCGGCCGCGTGACGATGCCTGGCAATCTCTCTATCAGCTCCTGCCACAGGGGAAGGGCTCGGGACGAGGGGACGTGGCAAGGAGGTGGCAGCCAGGGTGGGAGAGAAAAGTGGAGGACTTGAAGGCGCTGGGGCTCGTATGTCTGACCTTTTACCTCGCCTCGCTTAGCGGCTCCAACCCTCCTCTAGGACTGGTCCAGACACCGGCACCTCCCACATCCTTAGGAAGAGAGGCAGGGCTCGGCAGACAGTGCAACAGAGGCTCGTGCTCCCCGCCTTTTTAAAAGGGATCTCTTGGCCCTAAGAGGGCTTGTAGTGGAAGGGAAGAGAGGCCCAGAGACCCCCAGTCAGCCTCTACGAAGGGCAGGTTCTAGGTGAGGAGAGCGGAGAGGGTCCTGCAGGCGGTGGGGGACGTTCACATAACCCAGATCCCGAAACTCGGCTTTGCTGGCCAAGCTGAGGAAGGGAGAGCAGATGACCAAGTGAGCCTGTAGGAGGGGCCCACGCTCAGCGCCTGGACTGTGGGCTGCTGGCCAGCCCTGCCACCTCCTCACCTGCAGAGTGGGCAGCAAGGAGGCCAGGTGGACAAACTGTTCCTTAAAGGCTTTGCCCTTCTCTTTGTACTGGCGGGGCAGGAGCAGGCCGGGCTGCATCTTCGAGTGTGTTTGTGTGTGTGTGTGTTCGCTGTGTTCCCCGTGTGGCAGAATGCGTATGCATACTATGCATACATGCACATAATGGAGGTTGGAGGTCAACTTCAGGTGTCATCTTTGATAACCCACCGAGGTTTTTTGTTTGTGTGTGTGTGTGTAACAGCCCTGGCTGTCCTGGACTCACTTTGTTCACCAGGCTGGCCTCGACCGCTGCATTTTCTTAAAGGGCATACTGCGGATGTGACTTTGGGTCCTTGTGTTTCTGTGGCTTTTACTAACAGCCATTTCTTCAGCTCTGATTTTTGTTTTGTTTTGATTGTTGAAACAAGAGTCCCATGCGGCCCAGGCTGGTCTTGAACTTTCTGTGTAGAAGGAGCCAGCCTTGAATTCCTGATCCTCCCACCTCTACCTTCCAAGAGCTACAATTACAGGCATGGCCTACCGTGGCTGGCTTCCCCACCAGCTTTGTGGTTGCTTCCTGTTTCTTCTTCCTTCCTTCACTGGGAACAGCCTGCCTACTTTTGGTGCCAGCTGCCTGTGTGTCTTGTCCCCTGTGTGAGGCCGAGCCAGGCCAGCCAAGGCTCAGGCTCAGAGCTGGACAGAGGAGGTCAAGGGAAGGGGGCAGGGACTTCCCAGCACTCACCTCTGTGCCATCTGCAGTAGCAGTGTGTTCCTCTCTGCCAGTCTGCCCTGGGAGAGATAGCCCACCACTGACCTCGGACCTGGCTCCACCATCTCCTACCATAATGCCTTGGGGCATAGGCACGGGCAGCATGCTTAGCACAGAGCCCTGCCCTGTGGCCCCAAAGGCCTTCCTCCTTCCTGCGTGGCACTGCCTGAGAGCCTCGGTGCTGGCACCTTATGCGCCACCTTCCTGGTGCAGTCTCCTCCACCCTGCCACCAACAGGAACACTGGTGTAGGATAGCCCCTGGCATCTCCAGGCAAGCGTGATTAATTCCTACAAAGGGATTTGACTTAATACCTGGCACGACGCTGTGATCTCCCTGAGGGCACCCGGGCCTGCTGACCCCACCCCTCACCTGCATGCTGCCAAAAAGGGCGTGGATGGCTGCCTCCTCAGCTGCACTGCGCCTCACCTCCTCCACCATGGCCTGCAGCGGCGTGATGGCCTCCTTCGTGGCTGTCTGCAGGGCCTTCACTGCCTGGGTACAGCAGGGTCTCAGCTGCGTTCCCCGGGTTCCCACAGCGCCCGCCCCCACCCCTCTTTAGCTCCTGGGTTCCCACTCTCACCAGCACCGTCTGCTCCAGCCTTGCTCATAAGCTGACTCCAGGTCCACACAGTGGGCTCCGCTCTCCCTACCGGGAGGCAGTTAATGAGACCTTTCAGTCCACGCCCCACCCACCCCCTTGCCTGCTCCCTCTACTCACCCCTGCATGTCCCGAAAGCAGCGGATGCGCAGCAGGAACTTCTTGTCGGTGGAAAACATGAGGTATGGCTCCGAATGCAGCGCTGCGGAGTTGGGGCGGGCAGCGGTGAGAGCCTCGAGGCACGCCCTGGTCCCCGCCCCGGCAAGGGTGCGCCTCACTCACCACTCTTCTGGATCACATCTCGGCTGCGCGGGCCCAAGGCTACAGTGTTGGGGCTCGCGAATATGAGCGCGCGGTGCGTCTCTTCGCGCAGTGCGTGCACAGACGCTGCCCGCAGGTGTTGCAGAAGTACGTGGTCTCTGCGTCCTGGGGACCGAGAGCTGACTCAGGCTGCCCTCTCCTCGGGCCAGAGTTCTAGAACTCAACTGAACCCAGTGATAGGACCACAGTCACTGTGTCCCTGAGTCCCATCAGTCCTAGCCCAGGCAAAAGAGGCGAGCTGGACACAGCTCCTTCCTGCAACCCCCAGTAGCTCAACTCTGACATTTTAAAATTTACGGATTCTGATTCACATGTGTGTATGTGGGTGAGTGCCCAAGCACCACACCATGCAACCGCCCTGTGGGTTCTGGGAATCAAACCGATGTCTTGCAGGCTGGGCAGCAGGTGCTCTCAGCTGCCCCACCATCCCTGACCCTCTTCACTGGGCTCTAACTCGCCCAGATTAAGATGAGAGCATTGGGGGCTAGGAGGATGGCTCAGCAGGTAAGGGCACTGGCTGCTCTTCCAGAGGACTTGGGCTCCATCAGGGTGCTCACAACTGTGACTCCCATCCTAGAAGATCCAAAGCCCTCTTGTGGCTTCTGAGGGCACCAGGTATCCACTTGGTGCACAGATATACAGGCAGGCAAAACACCCGCACTCATAAAAAGTAAAAAAGATGCGAATGCCGAGGCTAGGCAAGTGGATGTAGGGAGGGCAGGAAGCTTAGAAAGAAAACTCCCAGAAACAGGAGGCAAAAAGTGATGTAAAGCCTTTGAGGAGCATGCACAATCAGGCCCCACCCCCTTGGCACTCTGAATAATGTTCACAGCTGATACACCTGGCCAGGCACTGAGCATTGGCACCGCAGGCCGACTCACCTGTCATCTTCCTTTCCAGCGGGCAAATCCAATCCGTCTCCCCAGCTCCAGCGTACCCCATCTAGCCAACAACAGCCAGCTGGGCACGGGGCTGCCACCTCGCATCTGACAGAAGGGCGCATGGTGGTGTGGGGGCCAGGGACGGTGAGAGAAGGCCCTGGAGGGGAGACCGCTCATGATCCTGTCCCACCGCTCAGATCTCCCTGGCCGTCTGGAAGGATGCTCAGCGGGAGAAGGACGTTCATAAGAACCACCGGGGCAGCCCCAGACTAAGTCCAGAGCCTGGGCTGCAGCGACTGTAGCCGAGGCTGTGACCCATCAAACCCTATTCTTTAAAACAACAACAACAAAAAAAAAAAACAAACAAACTAATTTTTATCTCATGCGCTTTGGTGTCTTTCTGCGTGTGCATCCATGTGAGGGTGTTGTATCCCCTGGAACTGGAGTTACAGACAATTGTGAGCTACCATGTGGGTGCTCAGATTTGAACCCAGGTCCTCTGGGAGAGCAGCCAGTACTCTCAACTGCCGAGCCATCTCCCTGGCCCTCAAGGTGTCTCACTTGTACACTTTTTTTAACTGTCTGCCTGCAGGCACCTGTGTGCCGGAGAATGTGTGTGCAGGCCAGAGGACAGTCAAACTCAAACCAGGAAGTAGTTTACCCACTAATACCAGCTGGCCCTATATTGATTTTCTTTCTTTTTAAAAGGGTTTATTTTTATTTTGTTTTATCTTGTTTGCCTGCATGCCCCATACCCTTGGAAGCCAGAAGGGCAACCGATTCCCTTGGGTCTGGAGTTAGAGGTGGTTGTGAGCCACCATGTGGGCACTGGAAATTGAGCCCCTGTCTTCTAGAAATGTAGCCAGTGCTCAGTGCTCTTAACCCGTGAGCCACCGCTCCAGCCCTGAAGCCTCTCGCTCTGCCCTGGCAGTCAAGGCCTCCTCCTCAGAGTCCGCACTCCTCCTGCCTGTTTTCTTTACTTCCAGGTGAAGGTTCCTCAGCTCTTGTTTGGTTAGCATGCTCCTTCTGAGCTTCCTCCCTATTCTAGGCCCTCAGACCTCCACAGGCCTTTGCATCAGGCCTGGAAGCCTTGCCTTCAGCTCCCTGCTCTCTTCTGTTGCTTACAGCTGAGCACAATTTTGGCTTTTGCTACCTACATGTGCTTAAGTAGCAGGGGTCAACCAGGGTCCCCCAGTCCCATGAACTGAGCCGCTGCACCCATAACAGCTCACAACACCACCCTGACCTGGGGATCCTAAAGTTAGCGCTCCCTAAACAGTGACAGCTCTGCCACTGTCTGGTTTTTGGCTCAAGTAATTTTTTTTCTGGACCTTGGTCTCCCCGCTTGTGTGTATGATGGGGGCATGGTTGGAGTCCAAGGGATGCCAGGGAGTGGCCGGAGACGTCACTGACGGATGAGTGTTGTACCTTTTTAGGGTATACGGCATACCGTAAGTGCCGGGGGCCACGTAGCCTGGTGCCCTCTGCTTCTGCTTCCTCACCTGCTTGCTGCGCTCCAGGTCACAGTTGGCGCAGTGCACAGCCGCACAACCATCTGCAGAGCTGTCCACCAGGAGCTGCAGCAGCCTGTCAATGGGCGGGAGGCTGCTGGGGCCCTTCCCCACGGTCTGGGGCCTGCAGGGAGGCTGCAGCCAACATCGCAGAAAAGCTCTCCCCACTACCCTTCACATTCCAGGCAGGAGCTAAAAATAGCCGCAGCAGGGTGGTGGGCTCTGCTCTAAATACAGCAGTCAGCTTGTCCTGAGGGCCCCTACTCTGCCCAGTGTGTGTATGCCTGTCCTGTTAGAATGGGAAAGGTCATGCCACCCCAGAGGGCCCTCTCATTTCATTAGGACATTTTGAGCTAATTTAGTAATTGTGTTACCCTAATACTCCTGGGACACATCCCTTCCAAAGGAGTTACAGGGAGCACCCTCACCTCTCCTCCACCCTACCCTACATACTAACTCTGGGATGCTTGTGGTAATGGCCATTTAACTGCCTCAGTCATACTGTTCCCTCCTCTTCTGCCTAGGCTCAGAACCTCACCATCTTCACATACCTGGGCTCTCCACCAGGACCAGGGCCAGTTTCACCCTCTCTGGGTTTGGGACACTTACTGGCACAGCGGACAGGACAGGCAGCCATTGGCGGCCAGGCTGTGTAGGCAGCCAGCACAGAAGTCGTGGAAACAGTCCAGGACGCTTGTACTGTGTGTGGCACAGCGGACACACAGTGGATGGCCACTGACAGCATCCAGGGCACCCAGGGACAGCGGACACACAGTGGATAGCCACTGACAGCATCCAGGGCACCCAGGCCCTCCAGAGGTGCAAAAATTGCTCCAGACATTTGCGTGGAAGAACAGTGAAGGACAATGGCTGGGGTTCCCGGGGCCCAGGTCACCTCCCTCTACCTGGCCCATGACTTAGCCCATGGCTTTGGGATGCTGGAATGCGAAGTGTGTAGCATCTCAGCAGGGACAACTGGGGCAGGACTGGTCGGAGAGGGAGGGCCTCCAGCCACTGGTCACCTACGTCTCTCATAGTCCTTCTGCTGTGGCCCCAGAAGGTCAGATTGCCAGCTGGGCAGTGCTTCCTCCCTCCATCACTTCTCCTACCTCACCTTGCTCCCACCTTCGAAATTCTCCACTCTTTGTCCTTTGGGTGACCTCAAATGAGGTTGCTGCAGCGCAGAGGCAAGTCCTGGACCAGACTGGTGTGGTTCTGCAGTCTTGCTGCTCTACCCAGCACCCAGAAGAACAAGGTGGTGTATAGGGAAGGTCCCAGACTCCACTGGTCCTCAGCGAGATTAGAGCTTGGAGGTGGAGGAGGCAGCCCGACCAGGCTAAGTTCCTGACTCAGTTGGAACTCCCTGGAACAGTGGGTCTTCCTGGCCCCATTTGCTCCATGGCCGGCTAGGGGCTCCAGTGCTAGGGCTGGGATGAGGGTGCACTTTGGGGTCCCAGGCCTGCCTAGGCTGTTTGTGGTGCTCAGTCAGGTCTCTAATTTCTCTGTGCTGGTCTTCCTATGATGGTGTGAGATGTGTGTACAGATTAATACCTGTGAAGAGCCCGATGCACAAAGGTGTGGGTTTGGACGGGAGGCCGGAAATAATGGATTTCTCTGGCCTGGCTTTTTATCCAGTGCTCTCTATCCCACCTTCACAGCTGTCAGCTTCCTCTAGCCTGTTTCCCTAAATTCTTTGGAGACGGGCTGCAGAGATGGCTCAGCAGTTAAGAGATCCTGAGTTTGATTCTGGCACCCTCATGGTGGCTCACAACCATCCATACTAAGATTTGATATTCCTTTCTGAATGCAGGCACACATGCAGATAGAACACTTATATGTAAACTAAGCAAATTAATCTTTTTTAAAAAGCTCCTTGAAATCAGCTTATTTTGCTCACTTTCCATAAATCAAGTCCAGGGCTTGATCCCTGAAGTCTTACTCATCTGTCAGAAAAAAACTGGGAGATGGCACTGTGTCTGTTTTTGTTTGTTTGTTTGTTTGTTTGTTTGTTTTTTTGGGGGGGGTTCAAGACAGGGTTTCTCTGTGTAGCCTTGCTGTCCTTGATTTGCTTTGTAGACCAGGCTGGTCTCAAACTCACAGCCCTTTGCCTGCCTCTGCCTCCCAGAATGCTGGGATTAAAGGCATGTGCCAGCACAGCCTCTTGGTGGGTTTTAAAGGATAAGCCAGAGTTTGCCAGGAGGGAATAAATTCTATGTAGAATTACCAGTTCTCTTTTCCGAAAAAAAATTCTATTATGTTGTTTATTGTGTGCTTGAGTGTATGCTTGGATGTGTGTGTTGGGACACAGGAGGAGTGTGCCCTTCATCATTACATTCATTACAGTCCTTCATCAGTATAAGTTTTGGGACTGAACTTGGGTCATAAGGCCTGGCAGCAAGTGCCTTTATCTGCTGAGCCATCCTGCTGGCCCTACCTATTGTAGGATCATTTGTGCTCTGAGTCCTAGTTGTTACAATAGCAATTAAAGAGTTAATGCTTAGAAGCCAGGCACATTCCTTAAACTAGCCTTGGTTAGTTTGATCCTGACTCTAGTCTTAGTTAAGATTTATTATGTACAGTGTTTTGTCTGCATGTACACAGGCGTACCAGAAGAGGGCACAAGACACCAGATCTCATCATAGATGGTGGCGAGCCGAGCCACCGTGTGGTTTCTGGGAATTGAACTCAGGACCTGTGGAAGAGCTGCCAGTGTTCTTAACCTCTGAACCATCCCTCCAGCTGGGGTATGTGCTTTGTTAATGAGTGAGCCAACAGCTTCCCCATAGGATGTAGATGTTTAAAAAGGGATGTTTACATGTTCTTATTTTACATGAGTGTTTGCCCGCATGTGCATGCCTGAGTACCACATGCATGCAGGGCTGGTGGAGGCCAGAAGAGGGACTCTGATTCCCTGGAACTGGAACTAGAGATGGTTGTGAGGTACCAGGTAGGTGCTGGAACCTACCTCCACCCTCTGTAACAGTGCTCTTAACCCCTGACCTCTTTGTTTGTTTGGAAGACAGGGTCTCACTGTGTAACCCAGGCTGCTCTCAAACGTGGATTCGCCAGCCTCCACCTCCTGAGTGCTGGAGCTACAAGTGTCCCACTCCCACACAGGCACTGGATATTGTTCCCGGTGCTCAGTGAGCACCTACCACGGGCTGAAGACTGTCCTAGGCACTGGGACACAGAAGGAGACATGACAGTCATGCTTAGCTGAGTATACAAACAAACTCATCGATGGAAGACTGTTACTGTAAATAATATTGTGATTGGAGGGGTTAATGGAGGGGCGGGACTCGGCTGCAGACTTCAGAGGCCATGGAACATTGCTTGCATGTACAAGCTCCTCAGACCTTGGATAAATTAAGAGAAAAGGCCAGAGTGGCCGGAGATGAGAGCGGCAAGGCAGGGTAAGACGAGGTCCTGGGGAACCCTGGGCACTGGAAGCCCTGTCAGCGAGCCCAGCAAGGAGGACCACTGCTGTTTGGTCCCTAAGAGATTCAAGAGGAGACTGATGGAGGCTGACACGGCACTTAGCAGGGACTGTCAGGTGTGAACTTTGTAGGAGCTGGCTAGAGTTGACCTGAGTGGATTCCACAGAAAGTGTAGAGACTGAAGACAACACTCAGTCTCTCTCTGTGAAGCTCTGTGTACGGGTGGTGGGAGGTACCTGAAGAGATGTTTGGTCCTGGGCTGGGAGATGCTGGAGACTGGTTAGCCGCAATGTGAAGGGTCCAGACAGAAGAACAGGTTGGCGTTCTTGGGGGAAGAGAGGCGGTGTGCAGGATGGATGATGTCTTCCCTATGGTAGGGGCTGGTGACACCTCTTCTAAAGCAATAGGCAGAAAGGCAGAGTCTGGGATGTGGCTGTTGCCAGAAGGAAGGAGGCTTCGAAGGCTGGAGCGCCTGCAGAGTCTCCTTGGGTGGTAAGGGGGGCCATTAACTGTGAGGTAAGGTTGGCAAGTCAGCCAAGGTCCAGTCAGGAGAAGCCACATGGTGGTGCAGCAGTGTCCAGGCCCAGTAAATGTGTAAACTGCAGATAAGGCAACTCTGGGCTGGCGAGGTGGCACAGATGGTGAAGGTGCTTGCTGATGACCTGAGTTTATACAAGCGCTTGCATGCACACACACACACTTAATTAATACTATTTTTTTAACTTGAAAGGGGGCTGGAGAGGTGGCTCAGTGGTTAAGTGGTTGCTGCTCTTCCATAGGACTTGAGGTCGGTTCCCAGCACCTATGTCAGGTGGGTCATAATTGACTGTAACTCCAGATCTAGGGAACTGAGCATCCTCTAAGGGCACACACACATAACGCTCCCATACACATAATTTAACTTTTTTTTTCTTTAAAAAAAAAAAAGCAGCTGGGTGGTAGTGGTGGTGGTGGTGGCAGCGGCGGCGACGACACACGCCTTTAGTCCCAGCACTCAGGAGGCAGAGGCAGGCATATCTCTGTGAGTTTAAGGCCAGCCTGGTCTACAGAGTGAGTTCCAGGACAGCCAGGGCTACACAGAGAAACCCTGTCTTGATAAACAAACAAACAAACAAAAAACAAGCAAACAAAAAGCTGAAGATGCATTTCATATTCTAAACCTATTGAAAACCAGAGCCTGGGGCACGGCACAGTGGAGAGTCTGTGATTCAGCCCTTGGCGCCTGAAGGCAGACTGTGAGTTTCACAAGTGAAAATGTGAAAGAGAATCAGATCACTTTCCCACCATTGCTGAGTCACTGAAGGAGTGCACCAGTCTTTGGTTTAACTAAAGGACTCAGGAATCAGTTTTGCTCACCTCTCGCTCTATTTTTGGCCTGTCGTATTTCTCCTTCCCAAGCCTTCCGCAGTTAGGTTAGATTCCAGGAAAAAACAAGACCGGAAAACATCTTTATGTCAGGGGTCCAAGAGTATCCTGAAAGCCACAATGAGCCTTGAAGGAGAGATCACCCCACACCATGAGGACAATCGTCTGTGATGCCAGGACGATGGATCAGGAGTCATCGCAAGGGAATTGATTGCTTCCTTCAAGCCTTGGCAGGACTAGCTTCCCCCAAGTCTGTCACAGAAAGAGAACGTTAATGCTGGTCAATCAGCCTACTGGCCTGAGAGAACTTACCTGCTGTGAGGCCTCCAACCCCTGTGGTCTTCCTTGTCTTGTCAGCCACTTAAAGATAGACTTGGATTCTCTGGATCCCAGTGACTCCCCAGTGAAGCCATGGTGATTAAATTGTCTTTATTACTTGTCTTTTTTGATAAGGCACTGGGCAAGTGAGCGTCTAGGACGTCTAAATGAATCACATGTTGAACCCTCCTAAGCTGAGTTTGAAGAGCTTAAGATAGCCTGAATATAACTCCATTTTAAAATAAAGA